AGTAGAACCACAGAGTTACGAACACTTTGGGAATGGAGGTTGTTCATAACTCTGAAATGTTTGTAACTCTGAACAAAACGTTATGGTTGTTGTTTCAAAGTTTACATCTGAACATTGGCTTAATACAGCTCTGAAACTTTACTATGCAGAAGCAAAAATGGTGCTTTTAACCATCTTAATTTAAATGAAAGTTTCCTTACCTTGTCAAATCTTTTTTTTTTTTTTTTTAATTCCCCTTTTTTAAAAGTAGTTTATGTTTAACACAGTACTGTATTTCCCTTTTTTGTCTCTGCTGCTGGCTGATTGCATACTTCCAGTTCCAAATGAGGTGTGCGGTTGGCTGATCTGTTCATAACTCTGAGATTCTACTGTACACAATTTAGGGGATACCTCTGGATCCCCAGTTACTCCTGAAGTCCAAAGGGATTTAAGGGAGGGGCAAAAGTACTCTTTTCACCTACACTTAGTATGACCATTTCTCTTAGATATTGATCTTGGCACAGTTACCTTCAGCCTTTGTTACCTCCAGATTAGATCATTAATAAAATGAACTTCACTGAGCTACCATTGGAGACAACTTGGAAACTTCAACTGGTGCAGAATTTGGCCTTCCAATTGTTCAATCACTGGTATGTTACACTAATGCACTGCATTGGCTGCCAGGTGCAATTCAAGATGTTGATATTAACCTTGACTGGGATTTATCTACCTGAAAGTCTGGGCTCTCTTTTTCCCCTCCCTGTGCACCACCAAAGCAGCTGAGATCAGCTTATGAGTCCTCGTTAATAGTCCCTGTATTTGAACAGCTAGGAGCTGGAGGCAGAGGGTTTTCAATGGAAGGCAGAATGTGCTTCTTTTATTGAGATGATGGAGCTCAAATTGGTTAACCTTCAGGATGTGCTGAAAAGCTCCAATGGTTAGTCATGCTTTTACCTGAAGGATGGGAGGGGTATATTTATACTCTTATTACAGGCAAGTATGTCATTTACTGAAATATCTACCTCATATTGTTTGTATGTACCTGCACCAAGATAAATGGTGATCGGCACATTTTAGAAATTGAAAAATAAGTTAACATGATCTTATTATGAATAAGCAGTAAACAAAAGATATGTTGGAATGTAAATTGCTTTTTAGCAACATTGCTATTAGGGAAAAATAGCATCATAACTTTACAACTAGTTGAGAAAGTCAATTTTATAACAGTCTGACCAGGAACCATATGAAAAGCGTTAAAATAGAACTACAAGGGTGAGTGCAATGTTGTTGATGCCATACATATATATTTATGAACCCTTAGAAAGATTGGCTTGAATTGCCTCTTGATATATTTCCCTCCCTTCCTTCAATGTATAGCCTAACCTCCTGTGGGGTGTAATACTTTGGTCTCAGTTCAGTTGTTGAATTTAGTGTGCAAGTGGTGTTGGTGGCTTGTGAGACTAGATGATATAGTAGTCCCTTCTGGCCTTAGACTCTATGTATTGAAAAAAATATCATTTCTTGAACCGAAACCATTATTGCATTATCACTAGTTTCTACTTTTAGTACGTTCTGGGCATGCTGCACTTTAATCTAGAGTTATTCATATAAAGACATGTAAGTTACAAAATGGACATAATAGTCATCAGATAGATTTGAAAACAATGTATCGTAATTATACCATTTCAGGACAAATACAAGCTCAGCATTTTCTCCTGAAACCTCTAGATGTCACTGTGAATGCACTCTTCTTGAGCATTTAGCAGGGAGGAAGAGAAAAATCCACAACACAATGGATTTGTAGGGGAATATCACCAGGCTAAAGCAGTTTTGCAGCAACAAACCTGGTGAAGCAAACCCCGAATTCATCATTTCTGGCCTTCCAGAATCAGTTTCATCTTTTTGGTTGGCTGGTTTAGCTTCTTCAGTGAAGGAGGCCTGCAGAGAACAATGTAATTGAAATAAAATGGCTAGAGCAAAAATACAGTTTCAGTCATTTCCATTTTGTAGTTTTGGCTTCCTCTTTGTAATGTTGAAAAGCAAGTTTATGAACAGCATGGACTATTTTTGAGTTACAGTACTTAGCCTTAATTTCCTCTGCTAACCACATATCTTCTAAATGCTCACTATCATCCACTTAGGGTGACCAGACGTCCCGATAAAATCTGGATCGTCCCGATTTTGAGCTGTTTGTCCTGCGTCCCGACCGATCTCTGGTCGGGAAGCAATTTTTGTCCCAATATTTTGCGCCAGCTTTTTAATTTATTTATTTTTGCTCCCGGCTGGCAACACTCGGCTTTTGTTGTTGTTGTTGTTGTTGTTCTCAGCCGGCCAGCAGCACTCAGTCTTTTTTTTTTTTTTTTTTCGCCCCGCCCCCCCGATGTCCTGATATTTTCTTCATCTCATCTGGTCACCCCCTACATCCACTACTGTTGATAATGGCCTTGGAGCAATCTGTAAAAAACAAAAAATGGAAAATATCTAGAGTTGAGTTAGTTGGAGTGGAATATACATTCGACTCTATGGAATAACCTGTAGCTCATCTGATGAATTTATTAATGAATCTGCAAAACTCTCTGGGTATAAACATTGGCAAAACAAATGAAGTATTTCCCTTATCCTACTGCTGCACAAATACTGTATTTGTCTAAATGAAACTTCCCATGGCTATCATCAAAAAGCGTGAAGCACTTGGCACATTATTAAGAGAGGATTGACAAATATGATAAGACCATATCAAGCCATTAATCCTAATTACTGCAAACGACAACTTCCTAAACTAGGGCAAATCTCATTGCAGGAACAAACCCAAACTGTCAAAAGAACAACAGCGACACAGCTACATTATTTAACATGCTTCTACTTCATATATAAATATATTTAATTTCCCCACTACATGGGGCAAGAAAAAACGGCAATATATTGATTATACATCTGTGCAATATTTCTAGTATGTAATAAACAATAAATAGAGACATTCAGTAGAACAAAAAGATAAGATGCTCTTTTTAAAAATGTACTTGACAAGATTATTTGTCTAATATGGACCCAGATTTTTTCCCATTCCCAATCAAAATCCACAAGAGGAAACCTCATGAGATTCCCTCTCAACGATCCCTCTACATTGTGATCTTATGGGGCAGGGTTTGCATCCCTCCTCCCACACAAAAGCTGTGCCTAGTTGGCAGATCCCAGAGGATCCCTATGAGTCCACGGCCACTGACCCCTGCATCAGCAGAGTGAAAGCTTTAGATCCACTACAGAGGCCTCTCCCACTTGAGCTAATGGAATATCTGGCAGTAGTAGACTGTTATCTTCTATGTGGACCAATCACCCAGAGAAGGATGAGGACACATTTTGCCGGTGGGTTTCACAGCTATTTGCAGACAGCTGAGTAATGCTGGGACTCAGGAATCATGGGTCTATTTCAGGTTGTGTAGGGAAGACTGCTCTATCCTTTACACACTTTTTGCCACTGTGCCCCAGTCTGCACTTCCTCCAGCCTTCCCAGTTCCCCCAGCGCTCCTGTCTCCAGCATGTCTCTGTTCACTCTTCACATAATCGCTCTCCCCAAGCCTGTCCCTGGATTCTTTGCATTTGAGGCAGGAAACTTTCTCCTCCTCCACCCTGCCTGTGTGCTGGGGGCACTGGGAGCAAAGGAAAGTCTCCTTTGTTCTTAGTTCTGGCTCCTAGCATCATAGCAGCAAGGAAGAGCAATTGAAGGAAAAGTCCATCGTCAGCCCAATGCTAAAGCATGCTCAGTCAACTCTGTGGGAGTGGAGCGTGCTCAGTGGAGAAAGTATTTGGAGAATTTTACTGCCAGCCTCTAACAAACCTCTATGAGCATATGGAAACAGCGATTTTCAGCAGTTTATAATTTGGCAAATTTGGATGGATTTTCATGGGGAAAGCAACAGGCCACCTCTAATCCGAGTGCTCCAAACATGAGGTTCACAGTGAAACTCTCATTAAAATTGTTTTGCTAATATTAAAAGAATATATTTCCCCCCTAGCCTCACTCTTGGAAACTGCTGAACTGCTTTAACTGAAGCTTTGCAAAATAATTTCAGCCTGAAGCAGGCACCCAGCACGGAAAATTTCAATGTGAACGGTTAAACTTGGCAAAGTTATAAACAGCTGAAAACAGGGTCTTATTATGGAAAGTGTTAGACAACCATAACTATAAGAGTCATTGCCAGTTCCACCTATAATATTTGCATTCAAGAAAGAAACAGATTGAATTGGTGACAGAGAAGATTTCTTCATTCTGAGCAATGGTATTGACAAAGACACTATTTATTGCAACTCTTTAAAAATGGAGAAAAGAACTATGTGGTGCAGAGAAACTAACTTGTAATGGTGTTCGGCTGATGTCATCTGTTCATGCTTGTGAGACTTAATTCTCTTCAGATGCTGAACAATGAAATATCTGCAACATCAAGCTAAATAATACTGCAAATTGAAAAGTGTTTTAGAAAAAAAGAATATACATACTACTAGTCGAGTTCACTGGAAAGAAACCCTATATTTCTGACACTCTGTATGATGCTAAATAATAAGGTATTTCACTATTATGTTACTGTATTTTGTTCACATGGACATTGCATCTTGTATTAGAAATTCTTGAATTATTAATACAACTAATGTCCCTCCCTTTATGCTGTATATTATGCCACATTTCAGACATATGACAAACATATTTTCATCATAAGCCATTCCATATTGTCACTATGTATGAAACTGAAGCAATCTTAAAATACGCCAATATATTCCACTGTATCTAAAGAAATATTCTATACGGTGTATTTTGACCTGCATGTGAAAATGTATAATTAGCTCTCAAGTAAGATATGGTTTTCATTTATCTTGCAATGGGTACCATCTAGGCAATGTTCTCTGCACCACTTACGCTCAACTTTAGTCAAGTGTGGGTGGGCAAAATTGCCATGCAGGATGGCCTCAAAGTAGGCCCTGAATAGGTCAGCACAGAAAGGAGTCACTGTAGATGCACAGGAAGAGAGGCCACTGGGCAAGTATTTATTCCAAGCCAGTGACAAAAAAACCCTCCCAGAGGAGGCATAGAGGGGCTGACTCTACCAGCCTCTGTAGCTGGCCCATGCTGTATCTCTAGATACCTGTGCACTGGAATGATGATTCTGTCCCAGCACAGTTCTCAGAGGCTGGTGAATTTCATTCAGCAAGTTATGGTGTTTTTACACTATGTTTGTGTGTACATATAGTTAAACAGTAGTTAAAACAGTACAGTAATTAAAGTTAGTCACCCTTGCGTTAAAAAGTTGTGGGTGAGGCTGAAAAGCTATTTTATATTTTAGTTTAATTTGCAGTTGTGAACGAGCCAGTCATAGTATGAGTTAGCCAACTCCTCAGTCCTGCTTAACCAAGTCATACATTTCACGAAGAGAATTGAGCAACTGGTTAATAAATATCCATTTATGACTAAAATAAACTAATTCCTTTTCTCTTTGTGACAGACAGGACTACTATCTGGCTAACAAGGATTTCAACCCATGTATGCTTTTATCTGTGATCAGCAACAACTAACCATATCACCTACCCCCATGGCAGAAACATTTGTTTGTAAGAGAGTAAAAAACATACGAACCCACAGAGCTTACATAACCAAATCTAGGAAAGAATCTTATTGAGTTGACTAAGCTACTGGGAGAATCCAAAACCAAAAAAAAGTTACAGTACAGTTTTATTTATTCCTAATATAAATTAACTCAAATTACATATTAACTTGCTTCTGCTAGTGCACAATGGCAATTAAAATACTAATATTGCAAATTCAATGAAATGCAGCAAAACAAGCTGGCTGGAGCCAACAAGAATGCAGAGATATTCAAAAGGAATATCCAGGAGTATTAAAAAGCAATGGGTTTTACTGAAAATTGCACTCTGTAAAAGAATGAGTTAGCCGCAGAGGATCTCAATAGCAAAAAAGCTAGTATCAGCTCAAATGCTTTTATCCTACTATGACTGCAGTTTTAAACATAGAATTCCATTTGGAACATAATTATAACAGCTTTGTCAAACCTTAAAACACATCGTTAAAATACATACATTGTAGTATTTCAATCAAAACAAAGCTTTCATAGTACTAATGAAATTGAGCAGGAAACAATGACATGAGCAGGGTCTAACGTAGGTAGGTGCCTTGCATGCCATGACAGTTCAGCACCATTGCCATAGCACTGCTGCGACATCCCTGCTTTTCTAAATCCTGAGCTTCTTTTGCTCGCAGCCACCAAGTGTTGTAATCAAGTCATATTACAACCCAGGGTCAGTCATTGGATGGGAAACCACCAACAAAAGCCAAACACAGGCATTTCTTCTTCCAAATCACACAGAGTAATCTTAGGGGACACCATCAGCTGGAGAGATGTGATCTGAATAACAGCTGTCAGTTCTGCAGAGTTGTGCAAATTCTGCATGTGCTTTTCATGATGAGTCACAAAGAGGATTTCTGGTCCCATCCTATCTCCACATATGTACAAGTCAGAATTCAACTCTATCTCCAGCAGTTAGTCTAATAATCCACTATCTCTCCTTAATCTGAGCTCAACAATTTCATTTTTCTAACGAGAGAATGAGTGTTACTTGGATGGAAAAACTGTTTACTTTGTGCCACACAAACGGAGGGGAAACTAACAGAATACCTTTGGGAGTGGCAGTACATTTTTTTTTAGTTTGCTGTTTAGATCTGGAATTTTTTTTCTAGCTCTTTACGTCACAACCTCAAATAGAGCAACATGCAAGTTAACTATTCTTAGATAGCCATAGAAGAGGGCAGTTTAAAGACAATGATGTCACTTACAGACAGATTAAATTCATATGGATTTTAATGAAATGGGATTAATTTTAAAATTAAAAATTTATGGTATTTTGGGGCCTTCAGTAATTTTTAATTTTAAGAACTAAAGATACAATTCTCACTATGTGCGAGGATTTACGTGCACAACTACCATTAATAATGGAGAGGAACCTTGAACTATTAACGGCTAAAGCCTGGGACTTGGAGTCAGGAGATCCTGGTTCTATTCCTGGCATTGCCACTGACACACCATGTGATCTTGGGCTAGTTAATCTTTGGGCCTCTGCTTCAGTTTCTCCAGCTATAAATTAGAGCTATGCCATAAATACTATTCCTCACAGGCATGTTTTGAGGCTTACTTTATTCATGTTTATAGAGCATTTTAAGATCTTCAGCTGGATAACAGGCTAGTAAAGATATCAGCTAGCTGCATAACTAGACTACAGAATTACTAGCACTTTCAATACTAATTGGAGAAAGATGTGTTCAGATTTAAGGAATAGAGATCTGCCTAACAATTTCACATATATACCAGACACAAGCATACATGCCTAGAAATATTTCTCTCTACTATACTTCTGGTGCGGGAGACCCATTCCTTTCCAATGGCTGCCAGGACTGGCACCGTAATTTTCGGCAGCTACAAAAAAGTCTAGGCAATGGCCATGTACACCCCAAATGATTCTCCCATTGCAGGTTGTTACTAGTACCGTGTATGTCTCTCTTATTCCCTCTCAATTATTTTGTTGGAATGATGCCTGGATCTGAGCCAGGACATGAATGGAAAGCTCATAAAGGGACCCCCATGCCTCTAAAAACCCATGAAGACAAGATCGTATTGGTCTATGATATGGTGCAGCTTGACTAAACTCTTCTGCATGTTCGGGCAAGAAAGCGGCATATTGAAAGCAGAGCATTTTCCTCTATTGTAAATGATGCCTTTAGCCACCTGATATGCTTTAGCACAACACTACGGTGCATCAAAGGAAAACATTCTAGGCAAATTGAAGACAGGACTAGTCTATTTGACAAGTGAACACAAACACCAGGGGGGCAATAAGAAGAAGGGAAAAGGGGAGAGAGGCCAAAGATAACATGGAACATAACAAAAAACACAAGCAGAGGAGGTGACTGAAACTGACAATTGAGAGAAAAGCAAACAAGGACCTTGGGAGAGTAAGAAGCTGAGAGAAAACCCATCCCATTAGAAACAGCACCTATTGTTGGCAGATAGAAGTGCTGCCTCCAGAAAAAAATGCTTCCTTATTCAAAGCTTGGGAAGTGGCAGAAATAGACCAAAAGCCCTAAATCACTCAACTGAAAGTAAAAACAAAAACAAAACAAGAAACAAGAAAAGCAGTGGAAGGCAAGAGAATAGAATAATTTCAATGCTTAAAAAATATGCTTGATTTTATATACTTGAAAATTTTTCCCAGGAAAAATCCAGAGAACTCTTTCTTTCCCCAGTCTACCACCTCCTCTTGCCTACTTTTCTGCCTCTCTTTCCTCCCGTATTTCAATGTGCATTAGGGCCAGACATCAAATAAGGGGACCACAATTCATTTTGAGAGTGCAGAAACTAAGTACATATTGTGCTGAATCAGGCACACAGAAAGTGGCTCCCCTTATTTTTGGGAACTATATACCACACCAGTCATCTTCTACAAGGAGTAGAAGTGGGTGAACTGCTGCCTTGGCATTCCAGAACCACCATTAGTTAGTTAGAAAGGAGTCTTACAAAACCTTGAGCCTACACATACTTGCAGATCCATGCTTTGTTACTACTTTATCACAGAAATCCAGGCCGTAGTCTTCTCTACCATGAAAACACCTGTGCTTCAGCTGTGCTTTATACTCATTTTAAATATAAATCTTGACAATCCCTATTAACACCATTTTGACTTCCCATCCTATTCCCTGTGCCACTTCCCTCTACATACACACAAGTTGTGCTGTCAGAAACATCTAGTAGCTCCTTTTGCTAGTGTTCACTGTAAGTCAGCCAGGTAGTGTCAATCAGACCACATTAAGGCAATCTATGCGCTAGGAATATGACATGGGGTCCCATGTGGCTCCATCCCTGCCCTCTACTTGACGTGTTGGTGGTAGAGACTGCAGCATGGGACCCTCTTTCCCCCCCCCCCCCCAGGAAGACCAGCAGGGATACCCCCCTTCCTTCAGGAGCAGCAGAAGACTCTTCTTTCTCATGAGAAGACAGTGCAAAGTACATGTGCGGGGGACAGGTGGAGGGGGATAACACTCAGTACTTAGCTCATCAGCTGCAATGTCTCTTTGGTGCATGAGCTAAGCATATTAGACTCTTCTCTGGCCACTCTCCCACAGTCCTTTTCTGGCGTGATGTGGGAGGCTACCTCATCCTATTTTGCGATGTGGGAGGCTACCTCATCCTACTGAGATGCATGGGGCAGTTCACCCCTTTTAGGGGCTATTATTTCAGGCTGTCTGCAGACTCAGGCAGACATCACTGCATTGAATTACACTTGGTTCATGTTTTCAAACTTTCTCCATGACCAAGAGGATGGTGGGGGAGGGGGAGGAAAGAGGAGTCATATGAAAGATGAGATTCTGATGTGATCATATGACTCCATGAGCTAAGGTCCTAGGAACAGACCTGTCATGCTCATGCAAGTGTTAGTTTTTATTATTTTCTTTCTAATTTCTTCCATCTCTATAAAGTGTAGTAGACAAGCAATTATTTTAAAAGTGCATTTTTCTGGACAATAAGAAAATTGATTTAATTAAAACCTGGTAATAGCATCTCAAAAGTTTTAGTTATTGGAACTGACCAGGCAAAAAAACAAAAACAGAAATTGCCAATTTTTGTAAACCTTCTGATTCATAAACTGCTAAATCAAATCGTTAAAACTATATAAAAAGCCAACAATAGCAGAATTAAATCTTTTAAATCAAGTTTCAGACCCGAAGAAAGTTTTTTCATGATGTTAGTAGTCCCTGAAAATAGATTCTCCTCTCAGAAGAGTTTCCTCAACCTTAAGAATTGTGAAGCTAGTAGATTCTGCTCTTATAATATTTTATTTTCATTTGTTTCTATGTGGTAATGGATTATAATGTATCGTGTCATTATTTAGGAGTGAATTTTTATCTTGGAGGCCATTTTGGTAATTCTCTATAGATCCCTTCCCTTTCATCTATTAGCTTCACTGGCCATAAGAAATTCTAAAGGTCTGCTCTCTCCCCCTCGACTCTTTTTCAGCAAATCTGCAATACAAAAATGAAAAGCACCATTTCAGTCTAGCCCAAAGTTAGCAAGACAAGGAAGCAAATTAAAACAAAAGCATCTGTATGCAAACACTGACTGAAGGTACTTCTCTCTTGGACACGGATAACCAAGCTGCATAATCTTGAAAGAGCAGACCTCATATCTCTCAGCTGTTACTTAGACTATTCAGACAGTGATTTTACACCTTAATTTACCACTATGCCCCACACAGACCTGGTGTTCTTGTTATAATTGATTGACATCAGAAATGATATATCTAGTCATCAGATCCCACTGCATCTAAATTACCTATTACAATTATAGCTATGCAATAGAGCAGGGAATTTCTGAAAACTAAAAATGCCAAACAACACACAACACTCCAGAATGCTAACATTCTTTTGTTTGAAGCTGGAAAGCTAACACTAATTATAATGGTTTATACCATCTAATTACATTGCTGATTCAATCATGAATCTGAAATTACAAAACCTTTACTGAGAAGAAACTCTAAAAATGGCATTGTGCGGGCGCATATTTATTCTGTTGCAAAGACTCATATGTTTACTCAGTTTACAAACCAAAAAGTTATTTTGTAAATGGCAGTGCTGCAAACTCAACCTTGTATCTGAAAATTCAAGCTGTGTTCTGCCTTCTATATCATCATCACCGCTGGCAATACAATTCTGCAAACAGAAGCCGAATAGACAGAAAATTTCAAGCTACATCAATTTAGACACTTTTATGATATCACCTTCATCGCTGTACCGAGGTGAAGACCAAGGCAGAATAGTATCCAGCTCACTCTTCCATAGCTATATTGGTCTTGCAGTGCTAACAGGAGCAGGTGCCATTATTCACATAATTACTCTTCTGACTATAACTGTACCTTTAATTCCCTTTCAGCTGCTGCTCCCTCCAATAAAATGAGGCCCCTATGTCTGTCAAACATTCTCACCTCAACCTCTCTAAGGACAGTGGTAATCCTCATCCCCAGGTAGGTCCAATTCACTATCACTCCCCAACCAACCTTCACTCTGCCATCAGCCTGCCTTCCTGTTATCACCACTCTTGGCTTCAAACCATCTCCTTCTGACAAACCCAGGTCTGTGCTCCTGACATAATCTGGCTTCCCACGCTTGTTCCTGACCTCATGGTTGGGTTCAGAATCAGCATTAGGAGAAGAGGGTCCATTGCCAAGAATGCAAGCCAGGGATGAAGCAGACTTTCCCATCCCAGGGAGGTGGGATGAATCAAAACCCCATCCCCAGCATAGTGGGTCTGGCTAATACCACAAAGTTTAGGAAAAAGTAGCACAGCACCATTCCTAGCTTTTGTTATTTTTGTGGTGTTCTTGATTTTGTATCTTTGGTACATGGTGAGAAAGGTCAGATTCTCCCAACCCCCAATAAATTTACACTCGTTTTTTGTGCTTTTTATGTAGTATAGTCCTTGCTTTATTTTGTTTTTTTACATTGTGCAGCATCTAGAGACCTGTTGTGATATGCTCCCATTGTTTTCTGCCCTGCCCCTCAAAATAGCAATAGAGATGAAAAGTTACAGTTGGTCTCTTTGTTTAGGTGGTTGGGAAGCAAAGTGACCCAATGTATTTCAATAATTTATCCCCTTTTTGATAAAGGAAGAGAGACTATCTGAATGCAAAAATTGCCAAACATTAACATCCTCTTGTTTGAATCTGGAGAACTGCAACTAATTATAATGGCTCACGCACACTAATTATGTTGCTGATCTAATCAGCTAACATCAGTAAAAGAGCTGAATAAATTTGCACAATACCTGGGACAGACAGTCAATCTCTCAATGGGACAGAATGAAACATGCCAGCTGATTTAAAGCACATTTATCAGTTGCATGGTATACAACACCAAAAGCCAACTGCAATGTTCCTTTACCTAAAGCAGAAACACTAAATCTTAAGTAGTATAAATGCTTCTGACCTGGGAAGATCCTGGAATTAAAACAAATTTAGCCCCTTGCCTTTCCATTAGCTAGTGCTTAAATCCATTATGCAAAAGAAAACATGCAGAGAAAACACAGCTGATGTGTGGTTTTTTTATTCTTACTGTCAGCTCTCTGTGCACAGTGTGAGTGGCAGGCCTCTTTAAACTGAGCTCAATGCTAGTGGTGTCCTGCTTCAGTTCCATCGGGTATCCATCCGCTCTGGCCACCCCTTCAAACTTTGGAGATCTTCTTAGTAAAGGAGCAAATATCACTGTTGTACATTCTTTATCCTTCTCTTCAAGTCCATTGAAAGTTTCGCCATTCATGCTGACTTTTCCATCTACCTGCAGAACAATAAATAAATACTCTGAGGAAATAACACAGAAGATCAAGCTGGCATGTATTTTTCATTAATAAAATAATAAAGAATCTACATAATACTAACAACGGTTTAGCACAAAATGAAAGACAGTTCTGGGCTTGAAGAGTTTACAATAACAATACAGACACTCAGGAGATAGGATCACTAGGAAATCCAGGAGGAGAAGATAAACTTTTTCTCCCTCATAAGTTATAAGCACACTTTTGTGGGCATTAACATAAAAAGTGTTGTGTTGTTGTTTTATTTTTAAAGAGAACAAGATCAGGGTGGTGGCTGAGTCAGTAGGGAAAATCAGGGAATATTAGGGATGGGGAAGCTTCAATAAAAGCAAAAGAGGAGAGTGAGAGACAGAGAGAGAAACTAATGAGGTGTGACCCTCAAGAACTGAGTAGATCCTAATTCACAAGTGATGAAATAATTAAAAATCCACAGGATACCGCGAATTTTAGGCAGAGTTCTCAACAAACAGGATGATTTAGAAATATGGCTTCACGGTACATTTTCAAGCTATTGCACCAAACTTTAAAGGATACCTATACTGAATCCTTTAGTTATGCAGAGCATCACAGAGAGGCAAGAATGCTCAAGCATCTACAAACTATACTGCTGAACTGCTATGTAATCAGCTGGTCTCATCTTAATACTAGGTGGACTGTGCACTCTGGAGCACAGTAGCTTTATGTTTAAAAGGTCAAAAGCAGCAGAACTCAGCCGATTATTCCTTTGCCCCACTACTCATAAGGGAGCAAGCCTGAAGTCAGCTCCCTACCCCATCAAACGAGGGTTTGGAAACGAAGTCCCAATATGCTGGGAGCGGGGAGCAGAGAGGGCTTCCCCTCTGCTCCCCGGAGAAGAAAAGAGACATGTCACTCTGCCTTCCTCACTAGATGTCAAACGGACAATATCTATTAAAAATACACATCAGAAAAGAGTTAGCTATTTCCATTCTCAAGGTAAAGAAGTCACAGTTCAAGCTATCCTGGTCCCCCTTCCCAGCATTCATAACGCTACACTGAGGAGCAATGAATTAGGGATCAAGCTAGTTCTAACCGCATCTTCTTTAGCTTGATCATGTCACTGACTTTCCTTTAACTCATGACTTTTTAAAAACAAAGTTCACATTTATTAATACCACTATTAGATTTTGAATTAGGGTAGCACCTAAAGGGTCCAGTCAGGATCAGGGCCCCATTGTGTAAGTCACTGTATGTACATATAGGGAAGAAGGTCTCTGCCCCACAGAACTTACAAGCTAAGTATGACGAGACACAACAGATGGATACAGTAGACAGGGAAAGTGCAAGGTAACCGTGAGCTGATGTTATGATCAGCATAATAAGCAGCAGTCACAGCACATCAGCTGCTTAGCTATAGTTGAGTGTTTTGCAGGCATGAAGGCAAATTGAGTTTTAAGGAGAGATTTGAAGGAGGATAATGTAGTGGTTTTGCAGATTTGTTTAAAGGGAGCTCCATCCATCAATAAGGAGCATCATGGGAAGAAAGTGAAAAGGTGTTTGAGGGAAAATTGGACTTCTGGGCAACAAAGGCTATTACTGCTGGCAAAGAGATTACACAGATCAATGCCACATAAGAGATGGGTAGCATGGACCATGTGAAATGTTTTGAGATGGCTAATCTATAAGTACTATATAAATACAAATTTAAGTACAAATTCAGATGCAAGCCATTCCTTGGAACACTGTGCTTTAGAATACTATTCAAAATCGATGCAAAGAATGTGAAGGACAAGGAACAGGTCTTTTCAATAAACTGAAACATTTAAAGTGGCATAGTTTCCCTCACCTCTCAATCTTTCTTCATTCAGCTACCCTTGGTTTACTTTTTTTAGTCAACAGTTTGGGTAGAACCCTCCTGGATAGCAACTCAACTTGGCATACACAACCAACTCTGGACCAAGAGCAAACTGCTCTTTCTGCTGACTTTTCCTGTTTGTATGATCAGTCAAGGCTCTGCTCTGTATATTAGGGAAATTCATTTAAGGCCAAACGCTGCCAGGGAGTGGGTATTTTTTGTGAGATGCTCAGTGCCCTCAAGTCCCAATGAAGGCAATGAGAGTTGAAGGTGCTTAGCACCTTACAAAAATTGGCCTTAAATGGGGAAAAGCAACAACGCGACCCAGCAGATTTTAGTGTGTATGTCAAATGTTATCGCTATACAATAAAAAAAGACAACCTCCCCATCTCTCCAACCACCACCATCGTCTGCCCAAGTCATTACTACTCACAGTTTAATTCTGAATACAAATGTTGGCAGGTCTTGAACCCACAAGTCCTTTGGGATTTTGTTGTATTATCTACTAGACAGCTCATGAAAGCTTTTAAAAATAAAAAAGCCAGAAAAATACTGGCTAGTTAAGCCATCCATTTTCGTGTCTCTGTTTAGACTAAAACATTTCTCTATTTACATAGGGAGGGAAAGCAAATGTTTGAATGATCAGAACAGATGCCCTGGTTGCAGAGTAAAACAAACATATTCCCCTCCTCCTGATCTGGAGCTAGTCAACACACTGTCATCATGGCAAAGCATCATAAATATATCAGTGTTTTAATTTAAACAGGGTAAAGCAATTGTATAACAATTCTTTTTTGGATAATTCTTACTGAGATAGATCACACTGTCCCGCATAAAGCAAGCAGCTAAGATCTGAGCAGACTTAGCGTGTTCTCTTTAGTTTGTCCACATATACCTGCTTCTTCCCTTTATTTTCATCCTATGAATTTTTTTAAAATAGTCAGGATCAGAAGCCAGAGAAAGATCCATGTGTCATGCAAGAGGAGCTGTAAAATTCAAACTTCAAGAGGCTGATCAAGTCAATAGTGTTTTGAATGTTTAAAGTGCTCGATAATGCTAAGAACTCTGAAAAATCAGGTCCTTAGCATCTTACCTTGGGCATTCAGAATTAATGAATATTTTACCTTAAATTTCTCTGTGCCCCATTTCCCCATCTATAAAATGGGGATAATAATACCCCTTCATCTCAACAAGGTGTTGTGAAAATAAATCCACTAATATTCATGAAACACTCGGACAGTACAGCACCACAGAAAAGCCATAAAACAGCCTATAAGGAAATTAATATGCCTGTCTTCAGAGCAGGGTTTGAATACAGCGAGGTAAAAAATTCAACCTGAGGCACACATCTGGCATGGAAAATTTCAGTCTGAATGGTTAAAGATTCACAAAGTTATAAGCAACTAAAAACAGGGTCTTATAATGTAAGTGTGAGGCAACCTTAATAATAGGCAAAGCTGCCAATACCCCACATCCGTTTTTCTCTCACCACAAAAAAACAAAATGATGAATTTTGTAATGTATGGGTATGTTGCTTCCCATATTCCTTAAGCCTAAATTGCCTTTCACATTTATGAATTCACGTGATGTATGTTGATGTTCCTTTGGCATTTAATTGATTTTGACCAGTGCAAGGCATCCTACCTTAAATGTTTTCAAGACCTGCTGCGTGTTTTTGGGTTGTGCATAAGGCTTGGGTGTCAGCATAGGCACAGCCTTGGAGACAACAGTTTTGCTTGGAGATGTTTGGCCTGTTGAAACAGTGGCTTCTGATTCATTGATAGGAACAATGGTTGCTTCAATCGTGGCAGTGTATTTTGGAGGAGGCAGCGATTGTTGCCGTAAGTATCTCATAGGATTTGGGTCCTTCGGTGGCGATGATGAATTTGGCTCCACTGAATGGCTTCTTTCCAGAATTTTTGGCATCTCCAAACGTTCAAGGACAGCTTCGCTAATGGTGAACCTTTCAATGTATTGTTGGAGAATGCTCTCCGCCTCCTCATGTGACCTGGCATTCTTGTAGGCTTCATACAGCTCCTTTTCTCTTCTCTCTCTGTGTGGGAGGCAACACAAGAAAGATTACCATGCAAAGATTAACACAGAGAGAATTACCCATGTGCACCAAGCCTGAGGTGAAATTTGGGCCAAATTCTCCTCTACAATCCACACTACAGTGATTATGTGTAACTGTAAGAGTAGCTCATTTCTTTCCTCAGGCATGATGTCCCCACTACAAGTAGAGCAACAGCTACACAAAACACTCAGTATTCTTAAATATGCAACTGCACTTCCGTAGAATAACCTACTTCTCCTCCACAATTTCTCTGTAAGTCTTGATACTTTTCCTTCGCTCACTTATTCCATCACCGCCACTCAATAATCTTTCCATCTTCTTTCTCTCGGCTTCTTTTTTAATTAGGTCCTGTGAAGCGCTTCTTCTCCGACTTTTCCACCGTGCCAGATCCTATACCAGAAGGGAAGACACGTGCAGATTCAGAGCTTTAGAACACTAGTCACAGAAATGTTCAGCTGTGAGGCTGTTACTTAACCAATAGCGGAACACCTCAATCGACAGCTGACTACTCAATAATTGAATGACTCCAGCTGTAGACTGATTTCACATACCTAAATGGCCAACAGTGTAACAATCCTTAATTTTAAAAAAATGATAAAGGAAATTATAATTTTTTAAATAAAAAAAAATTGGTTGACTATTTCTGTCAGTGGGCTTCACTATAGTTTCCACATCTTTGCCAGTTCATTTTTTCCCTATTGGTCATGTCACTAATCTTAATTTGTGATGGGCCTGTTATGACTTTCTGGTGCTGCAGTCCTGTATTAACTGAAAACATTGAGAAGTCCAGTTATCCAAAGATCAGCATATTCATCTTTAGTCTTCATCCTAATGACTATGGGGAAAACCCTGGTCGCTACAGCATGAAGAATAAACAGATTTGGTATAGAGCGAGTGTTGGAGGGTGGAAATCACAGTGATTCAAGAGAATGAAATCCTCCTCCTGCATCACAGGAGGTCAGCAGGCCTGTTCTTCTACCCCCTGTTGCAGCCTCAGGGTAGTAACCTCCCTTGTTGCTTTGCAACTTCTCCACCTATAAGTTGGTCAGTATATCCACAACTCTGAAGATTCACTAACTGTTCCATCCCTTTGTGAACAAAGTAGCCATGCACTGGGGTGACGAAAACCTCAAAACACAACCCATGTCATAAGGTCCTTGCATCCTCTTTGGTTCATGAATTCAGAGCCTTTTGTGGCCACAGAGGACTATGGAAGAAGATCTGTCCCTACATTAGATATACTAGAATGTTATCAACACTGTAAAATCAGTAAGGCAATGTTACAAAGCTATAAAACTATTTTGCGGTCAAATATTACACAGCCAAATTTTATTTTAAGAAAACAGCTTGATATTCATATATAAACAATAGGAAGGACATATTGGTCACTTTGACAACTAGTTTAACACCATTACAAAATTAGTGTACAGAACATATTTCAAGTATCTTTAGCAAGTTATAGTTTAAAAGGAAATCAGCATTACTATGCAGATACTTGTTTCAAACATTATTTCATGAACTACAGAGTTTTCTAAATGGCACTCTAGCCCAGAAAAGATGGTTACCTTTCGTAGCTATCGTTCTTTGAGATGTGTTGCTTTGCTCATGTCCATTCCATTGTGGTGTGTGTGCTGGCCAGTGCCGGAAGTTTTTCCCTCAGTGGTACCCATAGGGGACCGGCTCTGGCACCCTCTGAAGTGGCATGCATAGGCATCGGTATAAGGGGCACCGCCAGCTCCCTCAGTTCCTTCTTGCCAGAACTCTGACAGAGGGGAAGGAGGGTAGGTCACGGAATCGACATGAACACCAGTTATGAAAGGTAACCGTCTTTTCTTCTTCGAGTGCTTTCTCATGTCCATTCCATTGTAGGTGACTCCCAAGCAGTGCCACCGGAGGCAGGTAGGAGTTCATGGATGTGTTGATTGCAACACAGCTCTGCCAAATCCAGCATCATCTCTCACTTGCTGGGTGATGGCGTAATGTGTGGTGAACATGTGTACTGAAGACCAGGTCGCAGCCCTGCAGCTGTCAGGAAGGCAGCCGAAGACGCCTTAGCCCTAGTCGAGTGAGCCTTCACCATCGGTGGAGGCACAGCCTGCACCAACTCGTAACAAGTAGGGATGCAGGTGGTGATCCAATTTGAAATCCTCTGAGAGGACACCAGAAGGCCTTCATCCTGTCAGCTATTGCGATAAAGAGCTGGGTCGATCTGCTTGGTGCGTTCCAGGTAGAATGCCAGGGCATGCCTGACATCTGAGTGTGCAGCTGCCTCTCCTCATTGGTCATTTAAGGCTTTGGACAGAACGCCGGGAGGAAGATATCCCGGTTGACATGGAAGTGCGACACCACCTTTGTCAGGAAGGCCAGATGGGGCCGCAACTGGACCCCGTGTACGGGGACTCAAAGTGAGGGCTTTCATTTCGGAGACACGTCTCACCGGGGTAATAGCTACAAGGAATGCAACCTTCCACGACAAGTGGGAAAGGGAACAAGAAGCCATAGGTTAAAAGGGCGGACCCGTGAGCCTGAAGACAACCAGGTTGAGGTTCCATTGGGGAACCGGGTTGAAAGAGTCTTTCAAGGCCTTTCAGGAATCTGATTGACATCTCATGCAAGAACACCAATCTACTATGGATGTGAGGATGGAAGGGCGATATGGCAGCCAGGTGCACCTTGATCGAAGAGAAGGTGAGACCTTGGTGTTTTAAGTGAAGCAGGTAATCCAGGGTGGACTGCAGAGCCGACTGGGTCGGGGAGATATTCCCCTCTGACAACCAGCAGGAGAAACGCTTCCACTTTGCCAGGTAAGTTGCTCTGGTGGAGGGCTCTCTGTTCTCCAAGAGAACCTGCTGTGCCTGACTAAAGCAGGCTTGTTCCTCTGGATTCAGCCACGCAGCATCCAAGCTGTGAGGTGGAGAGAGGCGAAGTTCTAGTGCAGGAGTCGACCGTGATCCTGTGAGAGTAGGAGTCTGGGTGACTGGGAAGTGGCCATCGGGCTGCAACAGTCAGATCCACGAGCATGCCGAATCAATGCTGGTGAGGCCGTGCTGGAGCAATCATAATGACCTGTGCCTTGTCCCTGTTGATTTTTGAGAGGACTTTGATGATGAGCAGAATTGGCAGGAAGGCGTACATCAGGTCCCCTGACCAAGACAGGAGAAAGGCGTTGGATAGTAAGCCTCTGCCGAGGCCTTGCAGAGAACAAAACTGATGAGACTTTCTATCCTGTCTGGTGGCAAATAGATCCACTCGAGGAGCTCCCCACTTCTGGAAGAGCATTCTGACAACCTCCGAGTGAAGGGACCACTCATGGTGCAAGAATGACAATCTCCTGAGGCAATGCACCAGCATGTTCCAGATGCCGGGGAGGTGCAAGAGTTCCAGGTGGATTGCATGCTGGATGCAGAAGTCCCACAGATGGAGGACCTCCTGGCGCAGAGCCGACGATCAAGTTCCCCCCTACCTGTTGACGTAGAACATGGGAACCATGTTGTCCGTCAACACTTGCACCACCCGGCCGGATAGTTGGGAAAGGAAGACACTGCAAGCAATGCAGATGGCTCTGAGCTCCCTGATGTTTATATGCAATGCAATCTTCTTTCGAAGCCATCACCCTTGAGTCTGCAGCATACCAAGATGTGCTCCCCAACCGAGGTCGGACATATCTGAAATCAAGGAGACCGTGGGTCATGGGCTCGCGAACGGCACATCTTCCAACACCAGAATTGGGTCAGACCACCACTGCAGAGAGGTAAGTACCCGCAGAGGGACTGTGATGACCTTGTCTAGGTAATGTCTGGCCGGGGAGTAACTGACGCAAGCCACACACGGAGAGGAGGCAGCCTGAATCTTGCATGTCGAACAACGTACATGTCCCGCTCCTAGGCTGAGTCCCATACGGGACTAACTATTTCTAACTTTACACTAAGGGAATTATTCTATATACAAGTTCACTACTAGACACAGAGACAGGAAAGCTTGCAAAGCAAGGAGACATTCCCACACGGTCACTGGCAGTAAGAAGGAACTGAGGGACAGAGGAGGCCGGCAGCACCCCTTATACTGGCACATACGTGCACCACTCCAGAGGGCGCAAGAAACAGTCCCCTACAGATACCGTGAGGGAAAAACTTCCGGCACCACACACACCAACAATGGAATGGACATGAGCAAGCCCTCAAAGAAAAAATATCTTAATTGAATTTATCAGTAAACTATCAGAAGGTCCTATAAGCATAATTTACTTTATTAAAAACAAGAATACACACTGTTACTTTTAATTTAGCTTCAATCAGCAAGATACTGATGTTATACTCAAGGGAACGCTCATTAAAGCAGTTCTTCACACGATCCACATATATTTCAGTCCACAATCCCTTTCTTCAAACGTGGTACTCTCTTGTTTTCCTGTTACTAATTATTCCTGTTGAAGCAGTAAAACCTTTACTTATTTATGTACTCCCAGTACTGTCTGTTTAGAAATTAGTTTTTCCTTTAGCAAATTTCACAACATAACTGCCTCCCCTCCTCTTTTTGCAACAGAGGAAAAATGGATATAATTTGTTTTAAGCTTTCTTATTTTAAATCAGCAGTGCTAGAAAGAAAGCAACTGAAATCTATGAAACTGCAAATCTCTAGCAAACTTACTCCATGGGCATATACTAGCAAGTGGATTCATCAAGAACAATAATGCACCATGAATACAAACAATGTCCTGACCCTGTTCTTAGGATGCCAAGGACACTGAATAAGGGAATTTATAGTAGTTCTTAACAAATATTAAAGCTGTAGTATGCAGTATCAAGAGACGGTCCAGAAAATTCATATACAGTAGCTCAGGGTGCTTTGTATTTCAGCAGGCAGAGTCCCAAGACTTCTCAAATGAAAAAAATACAAGTCAGAAGGATTAAATCTTTATTGGGTAACCCCAATTGATATGGACTTACACCCCCACCCCAATATCAGTAGGCTATTACCATGCTGCATCTATTGCACTAATCAGTTCTTAGTTTTATAAACCAACTATTTTTAGTATTTATTAAACTTTTACTAAAAGCAGCCTCTCAAATGTTTACAAATAGTGTTTTATATATATATATATATAAGGAAGTGACTGTACCAATTGCTTTACAATGAAAAAAAATCTTAAGAACAGGATATTCAAAATTAATCATTTAGAACCAGTGCTCCTAAAGTGAATATGTATTAAACCCTTTGGTGCTGATTTACTTATACCCTGTTTCAATGCTTTCTTGAATGTCTGAGTTTACAGTGATTTGTTGAAATCAGCACCAATACACGAGGGCGCGCACAGGGGGTGTTTTGAGGGCTTTTATGGGGGTGGAGGGGGAGTTGCATTTTACTTTTAAGTGAATCAAACTTTGGGGGTAATTTTGTTGCCTGGGATTGGACTGAAAAATTTTAATGATCCACCATTATCTTGTCTACATGTTATAAGCATAACACTTCATTTATTCAGATTTATTAGCACTGTGCCCATTCTGGGGTCCTTCTGTATTGTTTAGTTTTGCTTTTTGTTATTTATGGATTTGAGCAAGAATTTTTACTTAAGAAAAACAGATAAGAGCATAAGCAGAACTGTTCCCAGCCACAGCATTTTCCAAAGCTTTCCAGGAAGCAAGAGCAGCTTTTTCAAACAGAAAAACTTGACAGAGCCTCATGTCATCCAATGCCAGATGAACTGCAGGCACTTATGTTTAGCGGCAATCCTAATCCTGAAAACCTCACTCCAGATTGTTTTGTTGAAGAGATTTACACAGTGAATCTGGATTTAGCAGATTCATTTTATACCTTACTGGAGTGACAAGTGCTGTTGTTGGAGGCGACATTATGCTGTACTCACATCTTGCCATCTATCCTCATCCTCTTTCAGTTGGTTGTGAATATGCTGTAGTTTTTCATGGCGAGCCTTGCTGTGAGGCTGCATCACAGCTTCATCTTCACACCTCATGTCAAACATACTCACACTCCTAAACAAAGGATGAACAATAAGCAGATCATTAGTTTACACTGATTAAATGTTTTAAACCTAGCTCACGTGAAGGTGCTAGAACAAAATCAAATACATCTCTCTTTGGAAGCGTCCAAAAATCAGAGTATATATCAAAAGGACTTATCGCTTTCCACATGAGTTCCATGTACAACTGCAGGCACATTAGCACCACCCTTCTCAATTATCCCTTGTTTTTAATATTAGATAGCACCTTTTTTTTTCCATTATCACTTGTCCTCCATTAATAGGATTAAAAATTTGAGAATGTCTTAAAAATACTCTATTCAGAGCCACTTTAAAATGCCGAACTTTCTGAAGCTCTCTTCCTGAATCACTTTTGAGAAGATACCTCCAATTTCTCTCTCTAGCAGAGATTGGATTTTATTTTATAACAAAACAAGAGAGGTTTGAGAGGTACAGTATTATACGCAGCATTGCAGGTTAAATGCCAATGGTAAGTAAGCTGTGAGAGTCTGCCCTGGAAAGTGCATGAAGTATGAATGGGCATGTTATAGTTTACTTTTCATGAAGAACCACAATATTATCAGCAATGAGCTATTAATACATCTGTTCTAAGAAAGGAAAGGTACAAACACTGTACAACAGTCATGATCTAGTCCACAACTATTTCTTTATATTTCTGTTCTTATCTTTGGAGAGTTAAAAGGTCATAGTTACATATTACAGTACATCACATATTACAGTATATTAATTTTGTTTAAAGACATTCACATGAAGATACTAAGTATATTATTTTTTGCAGTGCCTGGTACTTGCAAAACACTACCTCATTTGTGCCATTAAAACAATAAGCCATGCAGTTCCATGAGGTAATTCCACAGCATTGTTCAAAAAACCCATCTATAGCTAGAATGAGCCAATCAGCAGCAGAAGCAGAATGAAGATAAAATGGTTAAAATTGCAAGCAACAGTGCACATAGTTATCTATGTATACAATTTAAAAAACAGTCTACACAGTAATGAAGACTGTTGTGTATGTGTAGGTTTAGTTCAAATCTATATCCGAAGAAACAAGATGCAAATTAATCTTTTTCCAAGGAAAAATAAATAAATGTTTTTATAGTCTTCCATTAATGCATGGAGAGGGCACACCCATAATTCCTATCCACACTAATGGAAGTTACCCATAGACACAGAACACACCCTATAACCCTTAGTTATGTACAGCGAGCATAAGTTATTATTAAACTTACTAACGATTTTGAAAAAAGCACAGAGAGCTGAGCAGAAACCCTAGTGATTCCTCATTGAGTGTAATTTAAGGGTTGTGTTACTCCAGAACGGGGCACTGTTAAGTCTAAAAGGCTATACGGTTTGTTTGTTTTGTTTAACTAACTAAAGAAATGCCAAGCACTAAGGGACATTTCAAAAATTTAATTTGGAGCGTGGAGGATTTTTTAAATTTTAACACGGAAATATTGTCACCTCTGATGATTTAATACAATTTAAGAAGTTTGTGAACTCTTACAAATAAGGCCTTAGATAACAGAAATTAGCAATCTCTGGCAAGTGGTCCAAAGGAGTTTCATAAGCCTCCCAAGTCCTGCAGACACAAAGAATAATTCTCATTCAGAGGAGTAAAAAGAGTCCCCCGAATGCCTGATTATTCATTCCAATTGCCCCCTTGCCAATAGTATCTAATTCTGCCAGCTTCTCTGTCACACAGTACTTGGGAATTAAGTCCTGTAACATATGGCAATTGGGCAAATACTTGTACACAGGGAGACATAATGGAGAAGCTAGCTTTCCCTCCCAGCATTAGTCAGGTTCTCAGAGGGAGAAGTATGGAGGAGCTGCATCTTAAGGTACTGTGCTCTGCTCTGACTAATAGCACCACACATAATATATTTAAGGAAAGCTATTTATCCCCCTTGCTGTAGTGGAACAGGCCCTGGATTGGCATAAATAGTCTTCTCTTCCTGAGAAGAATTATCTTGAAAGCAAGGAAAAGAAACCTGGACCATGAACTACTGTTCAAAGATAAAACGTTTTTCTCTCATCAACTGCAAATGGCATTAGGGAAGAAGTTCCCCATAGCATTCTTCTCCTCATTTATAATTTAAAAAATAATCAAACACCCCATTCAAGAGATGGGTGGCATCTCCCATTCAATCGTCTATTCGATGGAGCTAGCTTAACTCCTGGCTGCCATGCAACTGTGTGCTGGAAAGAGAACAGGGGGAAAAGAAGAGGGAGCATTGGATCATGCAAAGTCAAATACATACTGTCATGAGTTCTCCACCTGTAAGGAAGTTCTATAGCTAGTAGCCCAAGTTCTTTTTGGAAGTTTGGGATTCAGTGACAGCAGACTGACCTTTCTATTGAATCTGGTGTTCTCCCACAGACCTGGACATATCACTGCGAAGAGCTTGCCTAGACTACAGATATTTTCTGGTGGGCTGTGTCCTAGCATTGACGTCACTTATTTTCAAGCCTCTTATGTTATTCTCCTAATTTAGAGTTGTTCTTGAGAATGGTACCACATTTTTTTTCATCTGCTTCAAAGAAGCCCAAATACCATCAACACAAATAAAGGGCTGAAATAGCTAATTCAGGATCATCATAAATCTCTGGTAAGACAAACCCCAATGACTTCATAGTATACCATTTAAATGAGAATATGGTGAATAACAACATTTTATAAGAAAGAAAATGATTATCTGTTAGAAATGTGTAGACAGGATACTCATTATGTGGTTGCATTATAGTTTTATAGACATGTCAAGACTCACTTTTTTTTTTTTTAAATAAAGTGTGCTGCCCGCCAGAGAGTAAAATTGAAGTAAACAAGCACATCTCAGCTCACATGGGCCTGTCAGGTTCATGGTGAAGTATAAACCTAAAATCAACACTAAACTGTCATGCTACCAAGAAGTGTCAGCCTTCTTTTCAGGGGAGATGGGGCTGGTCAGCAGCATTGGTGCAAACCTGGCAGAGGGGAAAGGCAGGGACGAGAAATGTCTTAGGCCTGGTCTATACTAGAAATTTACAATGGAATAGCTACCTCCTTCAGGGGTGTGAAAAATCCACACCCTTGAAAGGGCATAGCTATCCTGACCTAACCACTGGCATAGACAGTGCTAGTTTGATAGAAGAATTCTTTCTTCAACTTAGCTACCGCCTCTTGGGGAGGTGGATTACCTATGCCAATGGGACAGCCTCTCCTGTCAGTGTAAGTTGTGTCTACGCTGAAGCATTACAGTGTTGCAGCTGCGTTGCTGTAGCATTTTAAGTGTAGACATACCCTTACCAACTTCCACCCTATAGCCAAAATCTGACAGCTCTAATGCTTGGGCACTTAAAATGAAATGGCTCTTCACCTTCCCCTAAAACACGATGCCCTGCCATTACTGCTCTTCACCACTTAATACAGGACCAAACCATTCTTTATGTCTCCCTCCACCTGTTCAGTTGGTGTCAGCCAACTCTTGGGTTGCTGTAGCCAGCAAAGCCTGCAGGGGGAGGAAGCAGCACAGATATTCACACTTCCTCCTTCTGCCCTGAAACAGGCCTCGCTTCTCCACTGTGGATGAGGTTATAGGCAGAATAAGTCTGGTGAGTGGGAGAGAGAAGGAAGAGCACCTGGGGAAGAGAATCCCAGTGCATGGCAAGAATCTGGGGAGGGAGAAGTGAAAGAGAATGAAAGCAGGCTTGTTTTTCTCTGCCAACAGCTCAGAGCAACTCCTTTGGTAGAAGAGTGAAAATCTAGGAATATCCCCACACTGAATTTTCCCCAAACCATTCCAGTGAGGATGATGCTGACCTCTGTCCCCAAAGAAGGAGCTGTCCAGCCCAGAACCCAGCAAGTCTACAGAAGACTGGGGCATCCAAAACAGCCCTGCTCCTCCACAGCAGTTCTAGTATCTTTGGCAGTTCCTAATAGAGCTGCACTACTAGGGCCTCTACTAACAAGTGGAGGTTTCTCAAGAAACACAACACAGGGTCTTCACAGAGAGTATGTCTACACTGCAATTAGACACCATGGCTGGCCTGTGCCAGCTGACTGGGGCTCAGGCTGAGGAGCTGGTTCATTGCAGTTCATTGCAGACTTCTGGGCTTGGGCTGGAGACCAGGCTCTAGGACCCTGCAAGGTTATAGGGTCCCAGAGCTTGGGAGTCAGTCTGAGCCCGGAGTCTACTCTGTAATTAAACAGCCCCACAGCCCAAGCCTCACAAGCTTGAGTCAGCTGGCACAGGCCAGCTGTGGGTTTTTAATTGTAATGTAGACATACCCAGAGAGGATATCAACTGCCTAGAGCTGTATTGTCCTTCCTACTAACCTGGGTAGGGCTATTGGGGAGATCAAGATAAATGCCTCCTTCTTTCCATCAAACCACATTGTCCTGAGGACCAGAACAGGGAATATTCAGTCTTGGGCCAATGACAAGATTAAGGTCTGACACCTATCAACCCACTAGGTCTAGAAAAAAGGAGTTTTTATGCCACTGGAAGGAGAGTTTCCAATTTCCCACCTGGACACCCAGTACTTGCTTCTCTGACAGGTCTCAAGGTAATGGGACTTAAAAGCTGTGGCATATTTATGTATAGAAGCATACATTTTAAGAAGTGTTTCAGATGTATTTGTTTTTGGGGTTTTTTTTCTCCTTCTGAGCCCTGCACTGTTGGATTCCAGCTGGCCAAGACATTTAGCTTTCAGGTGGAAGGATGCAATCAAATTTTCAAAAAATCTCTGAAAACGTTGGTAAAATAGTTATCCTGTAAAAAGTGGCATATCTGGAATCGACGATAGTGAAGTATAAAGGATTTTTATCTGCACGAGTTTGGAATGAACAGCATAATTCATTTATAACACTGCTATTCTCAAGTAATGTGACCATCTCAAACCCATGCCAATAAAGCCTTCATAGAACACCTTCATGTAGTCTCTCTCATATGTTTATTCATATGAATATATGCACATATGTGGGTGTTCACAGACAAAAACATTATGGAGTGGCAGAAAACTACTTGGCTAGGTAGAACCACTTTCCATTGTAAAGCCCCTTTTAGCAACTCCAATAACTGATTTTAAAAACTGATGTGGCTTAAAAATTGACACATTTATTCTGAGATGGAAAGAGAAATTTTCTGCAAAGTCAGAAGGAAATTCACAGTATTTCTGAGTTACAGATCATTTAAAAAAATACACAACTTGAAATTCTGACATTTGTCTTAACACACATGTCTTTCTCTAGCATAATAATAGCATGCTACATGTAATTTGCTTGTTTAAAAAAAAACCCTATGTAGTGTTGATATTTATACACATGAAAGAACAGCATTTAATTTGAGTCGGAATTCAGGTGGCTGTGTGAATTTTGTTGACATGACAAGAATGTGGTTTAGTTATTAAGTGGACAGCGTAAGATGTCCCTAACAACTCATTTCTTTGCTTTTAAATGTTTGAGTTTCGTAAGTGAGGTGATAAGTAACTACACTTTTCACCTAATAAACTTATTTTTAAATGAAGTTTTTTTGTTTGAGATTAAAATGTGCTTGAGTTTTCTTCTAAGCACCAAATCCTTACATCACAGCTCTATCCTTAAATTAAGAAAAATCTCAAAGTGAGGGACTAGGAAATCCAGTGAAGTTGTATAGGTTATAATAGGTCCAACCTCGAAGGGATTTAAGAGATGGTTTTAGCAAGGCATGACTAATTAGCAATTTAAGATTTACTTTCCTAATTAATATTTGGAGATTACCAAAGGACTTCATTTACACTACTTTTGACTTTATTTTTCAACCCATCTAGATACATAGTCACTCCTCAATTTACCGCTCCAGAATCAAAACTTTCCAAGACGTTTCCCAGATCTAGGTCTAACTTCCCTTACTAGTAATGGTTTAGAGGTGATGCAAACCCACAAGTAAGAAAAGATCACACCAAGTTTTTTAAAGCAGCAGCTGCATATTAGTGTCATGCTGGTTTTTTTAGTTCTTTTCTGCAATATGAACACATATTGCATTCCACGTTCAAGTGCTATTCTGAAACATTTATGTGTCAGAACACAGCATAATAATAATTTATCAACTGCATTTTAAATTAGTAGTAAGTATGGAAAGCATGCAGCTTAAGTTGTTTAAAGCAACCCTGTGAGCATAAGACAACTTACTCTGCGTCATCAGACACAGCAGTTCTGGGGCCGAATCTACAAGACCAAATATAAAATTAGATGGTTGGTAAAAACATGAAGTATCAATTGCAATCAAAGCCACACAGCTGGGCAAATTTTCATTTGCACCCCAAACCTCTTCATCAATCAAGTGGGCTGAAAAAGAAACATGCCACTCAGAGGTTATACAAACAACAAATGAGACTTACCCAGTCACACGAAGGAAACTATGTAGAAACAAAGCCATTTTTTCCAAAATATAAAAACTGTGGTGAAATACAATGTGAAATTGTTTGTAGAAAGTAGCTCCTGATGGAGACTATGGTGGTATTAGATTAACTGTTGTATTAGATAGAGATACATGCAATTAGTCTTGACATAAAAACTCTATTGAAACATTCCATAATACAATGTTCAGAATCATCAATACTGAAAACAGGTAAAACAAGTATCATGCACAGTAAGTGAGCCACACTATTCAATGCTTTTTCGCAAGAGAAAAAAAGTCATCCTTTGAATTTGAACACAACATATGCCAATGTTATTCACAAAAGTGCATAGTTTGCTATTCGACTCATGCATATGACGTGTATTTGTTTTGAATCATGGAAGAACATCCAGAACACCAATCAGCATCCTTACTAGCTTCAATTTCTGTTCAAGAAAAAGCAAACTATACAAATCTAAAGATGCCACACATTTCAGTATCTTGCTTTTTCTGGAAGCTCCAGACAGAACTTCTTCCAAATCTTTTCCACAAGCCTTTTTTGCATTTTATACTTTCATTAGTCAAATATTTTCTTCCATTAACTATAGAAAAGAAATCAACGCCCCACTTGCAATTATTTTATTTGTTTCAAAAGAGTATATTACTGACACACAGTGTTTGCAGTCCAGCCTAAAATAAGCCAGGCAAGTGCAAAACCTAAATTCTGTAGTGTGCACACACTCTTAACAGGATACAGAGGGCTGCACAATATAAGCTGAGATTCACTTAGTAAGGAGCTCACGTTTGCAGGTGTTCGTCTCTGGATGACAACACTTTGTTTCTCTCAGGAACTTCCTGAAGCTGTGAAGTTTGATCTGAGTGAATTTGATCAAGACTCTGACTATTCATGTGAACAGTGGAAGCCACATCTTGTCCTGTATCAGGGAGATGTTGTCTTTCTTGTTCTTTTTCTTCTCTGTGTTGAGGCTGCACTGCCAGTCTCTGAGGACTGTTAGCACAGATTTGTGGACATTTTTCAGGGATGAATGAGCCAGTGGTGATGATGCTAAGAAAGCAATTTAAAATTTATTTTATAATTATGATAAATGGTTGATTATATACACATAAATGATATAAAGTCAGATGAACCAGTAAGTAATAGATAGAATTTCACAAGCTAAATGTATTAGGGGCATGCACAGTGGAATTTTGATAGTAAGGTAAGAGCTTGTAATTCTGCTCCACCAACCTAGAAGGAACTTCAGCCCTCTTTGTTTCATCCAAAGATGCAAACCTGAAGTACCACAGTTTATTTTAACTAAGCTACACCAGCACCAGGTTTTTTCAACCTCAAATTACTCTGTCTCCACCCAGGGGGACAAGCCTTTCCCATCGTAGCTAGATATAGGACTAGGGAAATGGGCTCTCAGGATAGAATCTGGACAATGATGCAGCCATCATTTTTTAAATCTTGTGTATCTTTTCCTTTTCAACCACAAACTTTGCATTTCAACCACCATCCAGAAGCTGAACAGCAAGATCTCTTCAAAACTCAGTTTGGAGTTATGCTTGATTGTCAACAGGTCACTCAAAAGCTAACCCTCCACTCATCCCATACAGCCCTATCCATTGGGAGCAATGTGCCTACAGGCGCCACAGCCTGATTAGAAGGGATCTAGTCCCAGAGTCGACATCTTCTGCTTGGTAGCTGATACAAAGCCAGCCCTGCGCAGCCACCTAATTTATTGAACATCACCTATCCTCCTCAAATCAGTATCCTCAGTATGGACTTTCCTGGTTCTCTTGATGGAAAACATGTTTAATAATAAGTAATTATAATTTATCTAGATATAATTAGTGTATTCCCAGGATATAGTAATTACCAGACTGGATCAGACCAGTGATCCATCTAGTCCAGTATCCTGTCTCCAACGGTAGTCAGTTCCAAGTGTTTTATAGGAAGATGTAAGAATCCTGAAGTGGATAAATATGGAAGAACAATCTACCCATGGGGGGGCAGTTTCTGCTTAACCTCCTCAGTTAGGGGTTGTTTATGCCCTGAAACATGAGGGTTTCTATAAATAACCCTATCTAGTGTAACTGTGGATATATTTTGGAATCAGAAGGTTATAACATAACTAACATGTTTCAGTGAAACACGAGACTCGCCTCTAAGATGCAATTATAGTGAGGAAAGAAACTATTGGAACAAAATAACTTTACCTCTTCACTTTCTTTTCAGGCTTTACAAGTTTCTTAGTTCTCTCCTGGCTACTCTGCTGCTTTGAAAAAGGAACTGGAAGGAACTGTTTAACACTTGGTCCAGGCTGCTTTAGAAAAGCTCCAGTTCTTCTTGCCATCATGTCATCTCTTGGATCTGGAATTCTCACTTGGTGTTTTGCCCCACCCCTAGGCTGGTCATGATCTTTCAGTTTCTCATGGCTCTCGTCCCTTGTCACATTACAGCCCACGGAGACAGATGAAACTGTTCCATGATGTTGTTCCATTGTGCAATTCAAGGGCAAACTGCTGCTGAGGCAATTTTGGGTACCATTACTCAGAAGACCATTGAAAAAGATGGAAAACTAACATTTTTAGCAGCAGCAGCACAGGAACTGTGAACAAGAGGCAATTATGGAGAACAGCATGACATATGCTACTCTTTTAAGCAAATGAGGAATTAGATTTTTTTTATGCAGCCCATATTTACAGGTAAGCAATTACTCATTTAGAAGCCTTAATAAAATCTGGACGAAGAACTATGGATTGCCCAAAAAAACCCTCCAAAAAGATGAATAACCACGTGCATGCTAAACTGCAATTAGCAATCCAAGTCATTACGTGTAATGAAGAAAACAAGCTGTTTCATGTTCACAGGGTGCATTCTTGTAAGTAATTTCATGAGCTGAATACATGCCACAATTGGATATGAAATGAGTAAAATGCATCCTAGTTTCTCTCTCTTTTTTTTTTTTTTTTTTTAAAAGGTAGTGGGACAACATTACAGACTGACCCAGTTAGCGTTACACACAAAGCAAGCAGAAAGCTCTGTTTTTTTGGCTTCCATTCTCTGACCTTTCTGCTTTCTGTGGAGTCTTCAAGTCTCTCTTATGAATTACTCCTTTCTGTTGCTGCAGAGGATGATGGGCAACTGACATGGGAGAATATGGCATACAAACCGGGCTAGTCTGCCTCTGAAAGGTTCCCATCCTTCTAGCCATCATATCATCTCTCTCACTGTTTGGTGAACTCCCATCAAGCTCTTCCTCCCTACTTTCATGCCATTCACTCAATCTGCATGGAGTTTGGTTCTGAGAGACAACACAGGCAGCCAACTGGATTCCTTGGCAATATTCATCTGTATCTGACCGTGCTACCTCACTAGTAATACAAGATTGAGAGCAGGGGGAAAAAGAGGAGATGGATAATGAAAAATTAATCCATGGTGAAGTGAAACATATGAAAGTGGTAAGAAGAGAGATCCATTTCATTTTTATATCTAATTTTACTAACATTTCAGAATAAATTAATTTAGTTGACTGAGTAATTTGCTAGTGGTGTCAACTAGCAGTTTCTTGCTATGATGACAGGCTGAATTATTAGAGAAACTGAAGCCAATTAAATGTAAATTCTGGTCAAAGTGTGTAACTTCTTAGCACTGTCTTTCCTAGTTAAATGCCAGAAACAGAGTCACATAACCAGTACAGCTCAGTTTTAATAAGCATACTTCAGAAGATTACAGAGGTCTTCAAGGGAAAAATACAAATAATCTTCAAGGGGAAAAAAATCAGTATTGCCAGAACCTGGAGTGAAAGCTGCACTACAACTTCAAATACGTAAGTAGCATATGAAGCAAAAGCCTTGGAATGCAAAAAAGAAGCAGGCATAGCTAATAAGATTCCTAGTGGAACTAGTGCTTTGATACCGATCAAAAATTCAAGTGTGACTCTCAGAATAAGTTTGCACAATGTTGCTCTGCATGACCCTAGATCTCTCTCTCTCAGATTCTGTGAAGGCATCAGATATAATTTATTACAGCTCCAAAATGCTGAATGAGCCTGTGTGCATAAGGAGCTCCTAACTACATCCTGCCATCCTTCCCCATACAAGTCAGCATCCTGCAAGAAGCAGCTTCATTTTGGATTCAGCAATCTGTTTCCTAGACAACAACAGTAAATACCTGGAATCATTTTGTGGCCTGGAGACTTCATTATTATGTCCAATGGTAGTGAGGCTGCAGGCAGTGGCAGATGTAAAGGTTTCATGGCAAATCTGTCTCTCAGCACTTTCCCTCCCAGTCTCCTCTGTGGTTTCACTATTGGATGTGGCCCTGGCAATACTAAGCTTCTCCCATTTCTGTTGATCAATCTCAGTCACTGGCCCAAAGTGCACAAACTTCTGCTTGGGGCTAGAAGCCTTTTTGTACGCTCTTGCTTTACAGCTAGCAAAATCATCATGAATGGCTGCTTCCACTGCAATTTCAGCGGATGGTTCAGGATCCTTGGAGCATTTGAGGTCTTCTTCGCTAGTCAGAACCAGAAACAAAGGAATCAAAGGAAGTTACAAGACAAAAGAAAAACCAAGAACAAAAATAACAAATAGCCTAGCAAACAGCTTAGTGTATACTGAGGGCTCTTAGATCCAAAGCCAGAGCATATAGAAGGAGGTGAACTTTCCATATGGGCTGAAAGCCAAGAGATAGCATAATTCCTCCAGACAAACTGTGGGAAGCTTGCTCTCTAGTGGCCCCTCCTACTTTTTAGGAGTGTCGTATATGATACAAACACACCCTCAGCACAAGATGTGGATCCATAGCCATGCCCAAATCTAATCGGATGTGTCCCCATGTGCTGTTGGGGAGTGCTAGCAGACCCCTGTTATCCTCAGGGAATGCAGATGACCATGTAATAGCTGCTTCCTGCAGTGAAGCATTAGGTGCTCCCTACGCCTTCTCCTTAATACAATGCCATGAAAATAACCATAATTTGGTCCTGAAATATTGTGGTGTGAACAGTGAAGCCCAGGATGAAATTGGAATATGAACTCCTTCAAATTTAAGTGGCGGTTTGAGCTGAAACCCAGAATCCTTGCCTAACCTTAACTGTTCAGGGTCTAAGTTGAGTCTAAATTGCAGAAGGGGGATATTTTGGATGTGGCCAAAATGTGAACAGAGTTTGCAGGATGTTGGCATCATCACACTCAAACTTTAACCCTATCACAAATCAGTTTGCAACTTTCAGCTCATAAGTAGTACTATATACCACTATTGCTTCTATGAGAAGAAAGGACAGTTAGTGTGGTCGTTTATATTAGGACTGAAATCACCCAATAACCAAGTCAATGAAAATAATGTCTGTATAGATGACTACATTTGGCTAGAAAGTGGAATGCCTACCACTAGGCAGGTGAGGGGTTGCTATCTTTTGCTGGAGGAGTTCCATATCACTTGCATGCATTAGTAAGGTGCTTGGACTTATTTTGCATATTTGTTAAGCTCTGGTTTTGAATTTAAAGAACCATTTTCAACATAGCACTATTCAAGTAAAAAAAAAAAGCCACTCAAGACATTCAAACAATACTAACTCATATTTCCCACACTGCCATTCCAGATTCACCCATGACCCTGGAAAACAACATACCTGAGCTCCTCGGACACTTTCAGTCTGTCCCACGTCTCCAAATCTGCTTGCGTTATAGAAGCTTTCACAAATACTGGAGACTCTTGTTGCTGGTTAAGGTTACTTTGAGTCTTTCGTTTAGCCAGGTCATCTCTTTGAATATCAGGTACTTTCACCTGCTCTTCCTCCTCCGACTCGATATCCTGAGACTGCAGGAATGGGTTTTCTTTACGTGTCACAATTTGCCTCGCTGATGCCATATGTACCTGGTTTGCTCTAATTTAATGCACATTCCAAATCAGCAAGAAAAAGCCATTTTGAGGAGTTAGACAATGATAAGTGGAATGTCAATAATGGCGGTTCAGAGTATAAGAATAAATTGAAATGATGAATAAAGTAGAAAGGTTGGAGTTTCTTTAAGCAAGAATGCAATCAGTTGAAACTGGGACTGTTTCATGTAGACTACCCTGTGAATTCTAATGAGACAAATTCATTGGACGATTATAGTTTTGAGTTTAACCCAGACAAGTAAATCTGGAATCACTGCAATAGAGTTTAATTCAGTAATGAGGTTCATTCTGATAGGTTATGATGTCCAACTCTCATACTATTAAAGTTACTGTAATGATTGCAAGTTTCATTCCTGAATGTATCAGAGCTGGAGAATTCTAATGTGGTATATTCTCCAGATGCCCTTCCAAGATATTACTCACATGTCAGAATGCTTACTATAAATGTCGATGTGCCAGATTGTTACTGACTGGAAGGAACATTTTATAAAACTGAAAACAACATGAACTAATTAAAAAAAAGTTCGGAACATCTCAGCTGTAGGTAGACCGATTCTAACGATAGGCTTGCTTAATGTTACCTTTTTTCATTAGTGGGTTTTTACACTAGACCGCCATGTATTTTATATACACACACCCCACATACTATCTAAAAATGCCTCATGTAATAGCAACAAACACAAGCAGATGTGCTTATGTTCTACAGAAGATGGTTGCCTAACAGAAGTGTCTATAGCATAGTTAACTTTTCCTAATCCCAGTATAGCACTGGAGTGGAATACATGGAGTGTTAAATTGGAACCAATCCGTCTATTTCCAAAATAACGTTAAACAAATTCTGCCACTAATTACATGGTCCCATATCCCATTTAGTTCACAGAGTGCTGTACATGTATAACCTAGAAGAGGATTTGGCCCTTTCTTTACACAAATTAAAAGAATAGTGTTAAATTAAAAACCATATATCTTAAAACAAGCATTTCCTTATTTATATCACAAATGTTCATTAGCTTATTGAATTTACTCTCTTTAGAGTTCACATTCTAAAATTTACTTTTCACAATTTATTTTCATTGCCGGATTTCTCTCACTTTGAACACTGAAAATATGCAGTGTGCTTTTCTTTTTTTAAATTGTAAGTTTCTAATCAGTTTCACTTTCCAGTTCTCAGGTTCTAGAGCAATTCTACAATGTCTCAACTGCAAACACTAGGATAATGGAGAATTTGTATTGATTTTTATGGATGCTTATTTATCCATTATTGAAATTTTGGGCCAGATTTGTTTTAGCTACCAAACAACAGTATTTCACATAGAATTAAATATTACAATAGACAGAGAAAGGTAGTTTGCACACCTGGCATATTCCTGTTTTTCCTTCTGTAATGGCTTTTTAGCACCTTCCAGTTTACCTTTATCTTTATTTGTACAGGGCCCAACTAAAAACTGGTTAAATGACACTGTAAGTTTGGGCTGATTAAGTCTTGCTCTCCGGGCTGCAAAGTCATCCTTTTCTAGATCAGGAACTCTGCACACTGCTTCATCTTCTGATCCAGAATCCTTCCCTTGACAATGCATCATAGAGGGTTTCTCCTTGTGAAGAATGATATCTGGGGTAGGTTCACTATCTTCATATATTTGCTTTTGACTGACACAGAGCAAAATTAAATGGAGTTCCAGATGTGAAAAGGGGAAAAATGTCAACATTCATTTCCAGGTCATAAAATAAGTGCTGTTAGTCAAATGTGCTCAAAGCTGCTGTTAGTTTAGATGAGGCCTTCATTTATTTGTTTAGGGCACAATCCTGCAAACCCTCCACGAGGAAAGCCTGAGGAAGTCAACTGCAGTTCCAAACGTGAACAGTTAGAAGGATCAGACTTTTACGCTATTATTTTAGCCACAGATGGAAAAGTAGAGAACACAGGCTCCAAATTATACATTCAGCCATTAAGTGGTGACATTATTCTTACACACTTTAGGTAAATGAAAATAGCTTTAGTATAAAACTACCAAGCTCATTTCTGATCATTACTGTGGAATCCTGAGATACCTAGAATTCACCACCCTGGCTCCTAAATGGGACTGCCAATTTTTCTGTATCCTGGGCAGTCCTTAAGACTGGTCCTTTCCCCTCCTGTCCCCCACACTTTGATTTCCCCCTTTGTAAAGCAAGAAGCAGGTAATTTCTTTTGAAAAGTAAGCAGAAATGAGCCCCCCTCTCTCTAGACTTGGCAGACTTAGATTTTTAGAATTTTGATGGATAGTATCAATGTTTATTTTTAAGCATTTTTTCAATTTAAATCTTCACAGTTGTGGGAAATTATGGGGGTGTCAGATAATGGAGGGTGTCAGACAATAGCTCAGTGGTTTGAGCACTGGCCTGCTAAACCCAGGGTTGTGAGTTCAATCCTTGAAGGAGCCACTTAAGGATCTGGGGCAAAATCAGTACTTGGTCCTGCTAGTAAAGGTATGGGACTGGACTCGATGACCCTTCAGGGTCCCTTCCAGTTCTATGAGATAGGTATATCTCCATATATTAATAACTTCTTAATTACAATAGGCACAGATTCAAAAAGTTAACATTTTATAACCATTAAAACATGAACTGCTAACCTCACATGTCAAAATATACAAAATCCTTAAATCAGTCCTTAAATCAAACTCTAACAAGTTCTCAAGCAATTTTCTTACTTTGCCTCTTTGTAAATTTCGATCATCATCTATGGAAATATTTTCATCAGTTTTTGTGTGTACAGTGAAACAGATACTTACCAATAAATATCTAACCCTTCTAAACAGGTCTGTTACAGCATTGAGACATAATGCTGTGTTTTAGTGGTCCATTAATACCTGCATTCTGGAGACAGTGCCTTCAGTCACCTAAGACCGATACTGATGTACTAATAATATGGCAATATGGCTCTTGATTTCTGGACACCAGAAAAAGATTATTTCTAAATCATGCAATATGCCCATCCAATTTGAGTTACTTTTTACAAGAGAAGATAATGAAGAATAATTTACATACTTCTATCCCCACTGGGAAAAAAATCAAAAGCTTATTTTTCTAGTTTTCTAGAAATAACTAGAAAACTAGACATGAAGATTTGAGTGTTACAAGATAGGTCAATATAGTAATATTACTAGGTTCAGACATCATGCCTCTTATTTTTCATATTGCACACCTTCTAAGTCAGAAAATATGGTAAAGTGAAGACACTTAAAATAATGGCAACAGCTCAAGAGTCCACGTTTCCCCTCCATTTTACAATCAACAGTTAAAATTGTTTATTGTAATTTTTTTAAATGCAAGTTTTCTAAGCATTGCAAACCCATCTTTATCTCCAACTATCTATAGTCCCAGCTGCCCTTTCAGCAAAACTTTAACAGTCCCAATTTAGATTTTAAAACAAAGATGAAATAGAAGGTTTCCATCAGGCACAGAATGGTGCTGAAAAGTCAGCCAGGCATAGGTCCATGAATGAAGGGAAGCAGTTTAAAACTGCCTTTCTTTTCCCTGAGATGCTAGTAGGTGTCCAAGTCACTTTCAGTTTTGCGTCTATTTGTTGGCACAGAGTTACTGTGCTTCTTGTTATATTGGTAATATTATCCAATATTCCAGTCCTTCAAATCCAAGGCCACTCAGTGGGCAGTGATCATCCAAATCCAGTTTTATAATTCCAAGAAAAGTTTGGAGGAATCAATTATAGTTTTATGCATCATAGATGATTCACATACTTGTTTAAAAAGTAGATGCTCTACACCTTCCTGTGATTATGTATAGTTTAGTAGGTCAGTAGATCAGGACTGTTTAGTATGTTTATTTAAGGAAGCTAATGTAGTTATGCAAGGAATGTAGTATCAACTAAAAGTCATGCAATGGTTTATGCACCATTGGGGTGAGAGCATTTCTTGCCTTTGTGAAGTAACAGTTCAAGTTCATTCAAAGAGCATTTTGTGCACCATTAGGCATTTCCTGCATGGACATGCAACAGGAAATGCCACATTTAGCTCTTTTTATTTTGTGTTTTATGGATTAACAATGAGCAAACACAAAGGTGGTGGAATCTATCTAGAGATCCATGGCACTTATATAGCTTCATTGCTGTGGTATCTGAGCACCTCACGATCTCTAATGCATTTATCCTCAGTACCAGTGTGAGGTAAAGTATTTTGCAGATAGGGAACTGAGGGACAAAAATACTGAATGATTTGCCCAAGGTCACACAAAGTCTGGTGGAGCAGGGACTGAACACAGAGGTCTCCTAAAATCCTAGCTTACTTGTTAGCACCCTAATCACTGGACCTTCCACTCTAAGGAAAAACAGAAATTCTTCAGGAGAGTAAATTTTGATTGGTAACATTCTGAAAGCTACTCAAGTGTCAGATTGTTTCCACCAATTTCAGACCAGTGAAGGGAATGAAAAAAATACCACCACCTAGCCAACAGCATACTTTATACCTCATGGGACGGAGATGTTCTTAGTCAAATTTGAGCATTTAGCAATCCAAGTATTTAATGAATGCACAGTATGAAAGGATGTGAAAGTAATATAAACATGGTTTCACTGCCACAAGTTCGGCATGATTACATTACTCATGGGTGACAGAGCCATGTGAGTTATATAGGTTTTCCCAAAGAAGCAACAATATAATTTATACCACATTACAATATCACAAATTATTTTTGGGATGCATGAGTAGGGGAAAGTTCTTTGTATTTAAATGCTGTTATCTTCATGAAGATACTACAGAAGCAGCAATGGGTGAAGTGGAGTTATACTAACAAGTGCATGATAAAATAAACCTATACCGTGCCTTGTGAAATGCAGGAGTCCCTGTAACATTTGTTACCACCACCTCCAGCAGTGGTATTCTAAATCTTTAGACACATTCCAGTCGAGGGGGTCTCGCTGAGGGTCCCTCCAACTTACCCCACCTCATTTTCTTCCCTCCATCAGTCTCCCTGAATTATTTTCAGATAAAGAAGTAAGCCCTTGTTGGGGGATCCAGAAGCAGTATCTTCAGAAAATGATTTTTAATGTACATACCATTTAGTAAAAACTGGGGATTCCCAGACAAAAAGTTTGATTGCACCCCAGAAGGGAGGCTGGGGCAAAGAAAACCTACCACCCAATTGCTACTGGAATGCAAGCTCACCTCCAGATCTCCCCCTCAATCCAGACTGACTTTAGAAAGACTTTATATTGTAAACTGCCCTAAAGAGTTTACAATATAAAAAGACAGACAGACTGACCAATACACAAAAGGGTACAAGGTGTAAGTGAAATGGTCAAGGTGTTTGGTCACCTTTTGATAACGCAATTTATTATTATATACAGGATCATAAGCTCCTTGGTGCAGGGACTGTCAAGCACAATGGGGTCCTGGTCCATGATTAGGGCTCCTAGGTGCTGTGGTAATACAAATAAATACTAATAGGCTGTGAATGAGCAACACATTTAAACACTTAAGTGCTAGCTAGAATGGGGCCAGAGTGTATCCCCAGTGCCCTTCAGGTTTGCCATTATTAATGAGCTAATATCTTGTAGGCATCACAGTAGATTTGGGTCATCAGAGGACTGGAATATGGAAAGGCTGGTGCCTTGCATACTAGCTCAGGAAGAGTTTTCATGGATAAGAAATAGTGTGGAAGAAAACAGAATTGTGGGAGAAACATCTAGGCTGGCATCATGGGCAGAGCAGAAGGGATGGAGGGGAAAGCAAAGAGAAACCAAAATAGGAAAGTACAGAGGAGCAGAGTTATGTAGGTCCTTGAATGATAGGACTGGAAGCTTGAACTTGATGTAGAGGAGGAATGAGAGCCAATGGAGAAAGGGGAGTCAACGGAGTGATTCAAAGATGGGGCAACAGTCAACGGGCAAGAAAGATGACAAAGTCTACCCCTCTCCCTCGCTTTACCCTGAAGTCCGCCCCATCTCTCCTCCTTCCCCATTCTCCCTTTCCCACTCACACATGCTGTAACAAATTTCTCCCTACAGCTCTGCACCTTCATTTCCCTTTCTCCTGCCTCAGAGATCTTCTCCCAGTATTAGGAGGGAAACTGCTGCAAGACTGAGCTTCTCCTGCAAGCTTGGTTCTTTGCACCTCAGCTGTTTAGCTGGTGTAGAGAGTCATTGGTTCCTCACAACACCCCTGCTGCCATCTGTACAAATTGCACCTGGTTGACAAATTAGAGAGCTTCTTCTGGTGGGAGCAGGGAACAAGAATCACTAATTATTAGTGTTCCTCTTTCCTCCTGCACAAAGGCACTTTGTAAAAGGAGGAGATCAGAATCCCTGCTGAACCATATGCTTGTCTACATGTGCATCTGTCTTAGAGATTAAAATCAGTAAATCAAAGCAAGATTGGAGCAGGGGGCTGACAGCCAAAGGTTGTAAGTATCCTCCAAAAATAATACATGGGCTATAAATATTGTTTGTTACACCTTGGATTGCCAAACACAATACTATTGTCTTGGACTCAAACTATGCTTGCACTATTATCCTTCTGGTTTATGAACTACTGACCGGCGGCCTGCAATTAACTGAGGCAGGATGAGGCTGTGATTTATGACTGATTGCAAATTCTTTTTATTAGTATTTTGGCTCATGTCCTAGGGTAGCATTTAGTTTGTCTGTTACCTTGTATAGCTCTTCAGTGCCTTGGCTAATACATGCATTGGTTATGATTTGTATTACTGATATACAAATATACAAAACGTATGTTATTGCTTGTAATAAGACAGCATACCTTTAGAACAATAAAACCAGTCTGAAACAGAAAATACACACACATACTTACTTTGATTTGACTATTTAACTGCATTTGACAGCTCTCCCCAGCCTGCAAGCCTCATTAAGCCTATAGACGGTTTCATATTAGCTATTATTTGTATTACAACAACATTTAGAAGTCCCATCTGAAGTCATGGCCCCATTGAGCTAGGTGCTGTCCATATATTGCCAGCATCCCTACCTATAATTTACAACTTTAATTCAAGTTTAGTGAAGTTTTTGTTTGAAAATACAATTCTGAATAGCTTTCCTTGATGTTCCAGAAATTAAGAGGTTGGGCAGGCAGAAGGTTGGACACTTACCATTTAACCAAACCATTTCACAATCTTTGAAAGGACTACCCTGGTCATACCAGTTAAAAGTTTTGCTTAGTGACATAACCTCATGAGAAACAGCTAGTTTTCATGGGACCACCACACCATTGTGACTGAAAGTCTGATGAAATTAAATCCATCCATTATCAGACTTTTGAAATAAAGAAAGGGAAATAACCAACTTAAGTAAAACCAAAAAACAAACAATGCCGGTGAAACGATGAGTAAATATGGTCATTCTGTGCATAGCTATACTCAAAGAATGACTGCTGAACTATATTGACATGCTTTACTTGGTGCAGGTGTTAACAAGCAATGAATTTTTATAGTTCCTGTCTTTAAAATAAAATACGTCCTTTAGTATAATTGTTAAAAATACTAAACACTTACAAATATAGGTGTGATTCAGCCACTTGTTACTGAAGTGTTCCATCACTAAGAAGAGTATTAAAGAATTTCTAAAACCCTTGCCCGAACAAGGCATCATGTAGTAAAACCGTTTTTTTGTGTGAACCTAAGATGGTATAAAATGGAAGATTTACAAGCTTGAAAATGTTCTTGGTAGTTTGTTTCTTGAACTTCGTTTCCATCCAAGTTAGGGTGTAGCACTATTACTAATTGCAGCAAACACATTTAACACCATATAGCTTTGCAATGCATGATTACCATGTCACAAGCTTTTTCATACCTAAACCCTTTCTAAAATCTAATTAGTTGCAAGTGAAACAGCAGAAAATGCAAGTGCTTAGTAGATTTTTTTTTTTGGGGTTATAAAAAGTGAAGTAATGGCAGAATGAGAAAAACGCACACACTCGCAAAATTTTTAATGTGAAGCGTGCACAATATCACACACTTTTGAGCTAACCTGCCATAGCGTTGTGCTGCTGGCATGACCTTAATACCAGCTTGTTCAAGCCTTCGTAACTTTCTGATTTCCTCTGCATCTTTCTCTTTGCACTTGTGCACTGCAGTTTCTTTGGCACTACCTGAAGGAAACTGACCTATTGTCTTTCCTTTGTTTTGATTCAAATCTACTTGACTTTTACAGGGGTTTGTCCTGGAAGCCATGCATCCCACCTGCTCCTCTTCATGTTGTCTTGGTGCCTCATTTTGTTCTTCTTCTATGGTTTCAGGATGGTTTTTGCTATTGAGTTATACAAGGTAGTTTACTGTACAGTACACTGCTTTCTTTATACATTTTGCTTGATACTAACATTTCAAACAATATTTTGATGAATGACACAGAAGACTAATCGTACTACGTAGTGCAGGCTATTCTGAAGCCAAATTAAAACAAAACACCTGATGTAAAATATGGGAAATCTTCGAGCACATTCATGTACTACACTAAATTTATGTAACTGATGCACAATAGATTTATTTTCAAAATTCAAGAACAGAAAGATGGTAACTATTTTGACTAATATATATCACATAAAGACTTTTATTCACTGAAAATTAAGAATCTCTTGAAAACTGACTCTCGTCATCAAGGACCACATTAGAGCAACAAATTGTACTTTTGACAATTATTTTAATATTTAAATGTGGCATTTAAATAAACCAATATTTTGTCACACACTTCAGTTTTAAACAGTTAATGTGTACTGCAACACTGAATAATTCACAGCCAACATTGCACTGCACAGTGAACAACATTGACATCAGGATAATTACCTAAGTCTTGTATTACCTGACTTTCCACTCATGGGATTATTGCTCTTCTGTTGTTTGAAACAATAGGGTAAAAATCTGTCAGTTAGCTCTAAGTAAGATCTATTTTGCCCATTTTACAAAGCACTGTGTACTTTTAAAGGTCATGATTTGTTAAAGGTTAAAAAATAACATAATTGGAGGGACAAATGGTCTTGAGCAAAGCCTTACCTGAAAGGCTTCTCTCCTCCGAGTGGTGAAGTAGCAGTACTCCAGCTCTTCCGGTACTCTTCTCGTTCAGCTTTCTTTTTCCGAAGAGGAGCTGGTATATAGGCAGTCTGGTTACTCTTATTCGGGAGATACTGGTTAAAAGGCACAACTGATTTAGGTTCGCCATACGACGCCCGCCTTGCAGACATATCATCTTTTTTCACATCTGGCATCTTTCGGTGTGGCAAGTCAGACTCAGAGTCACTCCCTCTCCCTATTAAGGGATATGAAAAAAGGGTAATTTTACCCTAACTTGCCAAAATGAAAACAAAATCCTTACTTAAAAGTACAACAGTATTTTATAATAATGGGCCAAAATACTACAGTTTACTACAGCATCTTCAGACATTTTTCTAAAAATTATTTTTTTTTTTAATAAGGAAGAAAATCCCTGTTGAAATAACATTTGCATAGAAACTTCAAACACACACAGCTAGTTATAGTGGATTTATATTCCTATTTTAAATCAGTCAGTGAAATACTGGCCACACTCCCTATAGTGGTAACAAATGGAAGTTATTCCAGTGGCCTACCTTCTGCAGCCAAAAAAACAAAACTAATCTAATTCAAGAAAAAGGTCTCAGCAAGTTTCTTTTTCAAAGGCTTGATCAGTTGTCCAACGTGATGGGTCAGCTTTACACCAGTAGCCAATGATATAAACCAGCTGTATAAACCCAAACTCAAGTTTACCTGACCTCAAGGTTGATCCTGGGTCTGCCACATCCCAACCCTAACCACAAAGCTACTGGTTGTTATGGGGCCAGATGCAGTGGGAGGTCTCTCTCTCGCTCGCTCTAATCCATCCTGGACCTGAGACACCTTTCCTGGTGAACATTTCAATGAAACTGGCATGTTCCAACAGTAATTTTCAGTTTTGACAAATCTGAATTTTTCAACAAATAAATGTTATGCCAAAAAATTCCCAGCAAGCTCTACTGTTTACAGGAATAGGCAGATGCCATCTCTTTTCAGAAATATGCTAGGCCAATTTAGATACCCACAGGCTAGGCATGACTTTGGACAATTGTAAACCAAGAGACTCAAGGCATGTCTACACTACAGCCCTAAGCCAACCTATGTTAGGTCAACTTACAGCCACCGCAGTAATTATTGTGGTGGCTGATGGCCACACTTCCCTCCTTCTGTCAGTGGTGTGCGTCCTCACAAGGAGTGTTTCCAGCAACTGAAGAGGGGCAGTGTGGGGGGCTGAGAGCCCTCTGCGTAGTCCCCCCCATGCAGGTTTCTCGCCTCACTGCTCCTGGCCAGGAGTGGACGGGGCAGCTGCCCGGGCTTCTTGCCTCCCTGATCAGGGAGTGGGGAGCCTCCGGGTAGCAGCCCAGCTGGGAGCAGGGGGCAGCCTAGCTCTAGAAGCCCAGCTTTCTTGACAAGACAGCCAACAGCCAATGTAAATAATGCAGTGACTACACGGACACTGATTTGTCCTAACTGCACCAACATAAGCCCTACACCTTTCATGGAGGTGGAGTTATTATGTCAGTGTAGTAAGGCATTTACGTCGGCAGGACAAGGCTGTAGTGCAGGGGTGGGCAAACTTTTTGGCCTGAGGGCCACATCTGGGAATAGAAATTGTATGGCAGGCCATGAATGGTCACTAAATTGGGGTTGGGGTGTGGGAGAGGGTGAGAGCTCTGGTTGGGGGTGTGAGCTCTGGGGTGGGGTTGGGGATGAGGAGTTTGGGGTGTAGGAGGGTGCTCTGGGCTGGGACCGAGGAGTTTGGAGGGCAGGAGGGGGGGTCAGGGCTGGGGCAGAGGGTTGGGGTGTGGGAAGGGTTGCAGGCTCCAGGGGGATGCGGGCTCTGGGGTGGGGTGGGGATGAGCCTGACCAGTATTCCCTGCTCCTGACATTTCAAGCAGTGGTTCAAGGGGCCTCTCTGCATGCATGAAGGGAACTGAGGGGGAACAAACAGCATGTCTAGTGCCACAGATGGCCAAGTAAGGGATTTTATTTATTTGTGCACAAGGGGTAGCTGTACTCTTATGTCTGTCAGTCTGTCTATAGTTCTACTATAAAATTTAAGAGACTGCTAAATATTCTTCTCTGTTTCTTCTTGCAGAGTCCAGTGCCTGGGTGAGGACATCAAGCCAACTCCCAAATGGAGATGCTAACCATAGGCCCCGTTAGTGCAACTGCTTACTGGTTCTAGTTAACGTGTTTTAATGGTGTAAGAACTGACTTCTAGCTTTAACCAGCACAGAGTTCCCAAAACCACAGGGAATCTCAGTTGGCCAGTTAGGATCAGAACCAGTTTCTTTTGTGCTGCCCAAGAGGAGTGAAGGGGCTGGATCTTACCTCAGAATCTGCCCCCGCCCACCTTGTCTGAAAACTAAAATTATTATTTTTAATAGTGAGGATGATTGAATAGAAACAATGGATTTGGAGAACATACTATCCAGGCAATTACATCATGCTTATCACGGAAGTAACTGAGCAGCTAGCCTAGAGCATTCTGTGCGGCAGGCTGAAGAGAATGCATTTCTGTCCTAGAAGCTTTGAGCTAGAATCAGGCTTAAGACAAGCTCGAAGTCTACTTCCTAGAGGACACTTGCTCATATTCACAGTACCCCATACTGACACAACTGGACACATACAGAGAGCAAAGACTGAAGCAGCAGCCATGCTGAAGGTCAGGAGCTGCATGTCCTGGCTGAAGGGGGGGTGCAAGGATAACTATCAAGTCACTCAGTTTCTTAAATGCTGAATATCTTGCCAAGAATTGCCAAAACTGTATTTTCATAAGACTGCACTTCAAAACTCTCCTAGGTATCAACAATTTCCAAGAGGTTTCCTTTTCCTCTTAGACGACCAGTTTATTTATATGGCATTTGATTTTTTTCAACATTTTCCACCCTTTTGCATTCTTAGTTCTTGCTTCAGCCTAGCTTATGAGCTGATGTGCGTCTGCACACTGTGTCTGCTACCCCCTAACCCAGAGAAACACTATGTCATAAATTACACTTGTAAGGTATAACTCATTTTACTATACTACGTTATAGAACCGAGGTAGATTTCAAATAAATTGCTGGCAAAATTATCTAAAGACCCGAGAAACAAAAATCTGCATTCAAAGAAAGTTTCTTTTACCAATTCACAGGAGACATCATGATTCAGAAATTGCATCCAGCTTTTGAATGGCTGCCTTTGCACTGAAAGCACTGGGTGACACATTCAATGTTTTGCATGTGTCTTGTTGTGACCGAAACTTACCATCGCTGCTTCCTCTGAGTACTACATCTGGAGACGGTGTCTGCTGTGAGCGGGAACCAAATGAATCCAAACTGTCAAAGGAATCATCTCTGCCGTGGCGAGGGGGGGAAAGGGAATCACTGCGTTCAGAGTCCCAGCAATCAATATAACCACTGTCACGAATGTTGCGTTTGGGGCTCTCAATATCTTCTGTTTCCTACATGGAAATACAGACGTACCTCTTCAAAAAAGTCAGTGACACAAAAATGAGATCCACTATGCATCTGAGTACAAAGTATCTTTCTAATGCACTAAAATCTCTTCCCTCAATCATAGCATTTTTTTTTTGCTTTCAAATCAAAAGCATGAGATTGCAATAAAACCTCATTTCATACCAATTAAGAGGAACACACATGCTTTGGATTAATATAGTTATTTGAAATACAGTTGCAATAGGCAGATTAATAAAACTATCAAAATTGAAATAAACCTGAAACTTGACTTGTCTTCCATAGTCCATAGCACACTGGCAAAGGCATTATAAATTTGACCTCATGGCTGAGTTGGGGATAAGCTCACTATTCTCCAGATTAATTCCCCCAATCTATCTATTGTATCTGACTGGGACACCAGCAGGCAGCATTTGTTGTCGTCGCCTGAGCTCGGCAAAATAATGAAGCAGTTTGTCCCAGTCTCCCTGCACCTTGAAGAGAAATTCCTGTTATGAAAGAGGGATGTCTTTCTAAAGCAATCAGCAATGAAAAATATGCAAAATGCTTTTCCTGATGCCTCAGAAGAATTCAGTCGTGCTCTTTACTCTTTGCCAGCTCCTGGCTCTGGGGGATATGAAAGCACTTGTAGCTGACCCACATGTTCAGAGCAGTGAGAACAATGGTTGTCTTTGACAGCCCTGTGATTATAAATTCTTTCCAGCGCAAGCAGCACATACTAAAACTCTAAAACTCCAGCAGAGGGAAAGGTCAATGGAAGCCATCCTCACCCTTGCATTATAATAAATCCCTTGTTTCAGCCAGTTTCTTAACGTTAATTACAATAGCACAGGCCGAGAAAAGCAAAAATAACTATTCTCTTACTCAAAAGATAAACCTCTATGTTTTTTTTCTCCGCCAGACTGTCACTGAAAAAACTCAAGAGATGCGGGTGACATCATCAGACTGACATTTTTCAATCTGAAAAGATTGGAATGTGAAACTTTTTCTTGACACACTTAAATATTAATTTTAAACTTTCCAATTAAAAAAACACCTATGGGCTACAGATAATTGGAGCTCAACAACTGAGTGGAGAGTAGCTCCCACTGCCCTCTACAGCTACTGTTGTCATTATTAGTATTGCCAGTGATCATATCAATCAACATTATGGTACAATAAAGTCAACAACCTCCTTAGCAAAGGAGAATTACGGCAGAAAGAGCATCTGAGAAGGGGAGCATCATAATATCAATCAAAAGTTCAATATTCAAAGGGAGAGGCTCAGAGGGAAAAGGAAAGATTAGAAACTCGTGTCTTGTAGACTTTCCAGGAAGAAGACTTAATTAGAGCCACTAAATAACTTGCTGCCAAAATACCACAGTATGTCCAGCACCAAAGGTTCCTTAAGGCCAAGCAAAATCACAGTAATGCCAATAGTCACAGAGTACACGAACTGGGATTATACTCAAGTTTTGTTTTATTTTTTAATTTAAAATATGTTAACAAGTAGTGATTTAATTCAATGGCGTTTTCCTCCCTTATCGCTTGTTTAGGAATGGTATATATACACACACACATAAACACTGTTCAACGTATACCACCTCTGTCTTTCTAAAATCTATATTAAGTATACAGCTCCAAGAAAAAAGATTACATCCTCTCAAAATCCTCTTTACCCTTTTCTTCAAAACTATCTGAAATCTTTTCCAAATCCAGATTCAGAAAAAGCTCCCCATCTCTACATACCAATCAGCTATATTCAATCCTCTGGCAGACTTCCATTTTCTTAAAATAATATGTTTGAAAGTCATGGAAACGCTCAATAGCAAGAGGGATAGAAATCAGATGAACTATTCGAAAGTACAGGCTGAAAAAAACATTCTTCAGCTGTTTCATGCTTTAAAACCCTGAATGAAGTGTGAATGAACAGATTCCAAAATTCCCTATTTTATTAACCCGTTAACTTTAATTTAGTTTACTTTTTAATTACTGGCAGCTACAGGTAAAAGTAGGGAAGTGTACAAGAGATGGCACAATAGACTGTAGTAATTCTCTTGTAAACATGTACTATTTAGCCTTCCCGTTGGCACCTCATTCTCCCAAAAGATTACTGTTACTGGCTATGACAGATACTCAAAATTAGAGCAAGTGTGTGTTATCTACTAGATAGTAACCACTCTAAGTATCATTTACATCTGTACTGTGACACTTTTTGAAAAGATAATCCCATAGCATACCATAATGCACTGGTCTATCATGCCCATCTGGTAAAAATCAATGCATAACCTTGTGGTAGTAAAAGTAGATACAACTGCCAAATTTAAAACCTATTTGCCAGCCACTTTTATATATTCCTTTTCAAACTATTGAATATATTCAAAGTGCACTATGGATTAACTGTTTACATTTTTCAGATTGAAAACTGGATGAGTATGCAGTAAAGTAGGTTAAAAGAAATAAAATTAAAAACTCACTGAATAAAGTTAAAAAAGGATTTCAATGGAGGTACTACTAGCACATACTGAAATGTCACTTGCTGTCAATGCCATTGTTAAATTCAATGGAACTGTGCCAGTGTAACCCTTCATTTATAAAGAAGTGCTCTCGCCATCCAGCCTAAGCTAAAGTAATGGAGTGCTGCACAACATAGTTCAAATGTTCTAAATTACAACAACAAACCTCTTAAACTTCAACCACAAAATAACTCCAGGAGAATTGATGTGTGGCATAAAGAAGGAGTGGGAAGGCAAGGTAAGAAATACAGGTCTAGCAACAGTCATAATAATACCATCCAACTAATATCTTTGTTTACTGCACTGAAAAGTTTATGGCGATACAAACATTCAAACATTAGGAGATTCCCTTCATTGGTTCCCCTCCTCCACTGCAGCAAATTCAAGTTTCTTGTTCTTGTCTTTGACCTGCTGAATTCTGCCCCCTCCCTCTTTATCATCTCCACCCTCCTAACGATGCCAGCTTTTAAACACCATTTATCCCCTTATCCCACAACAGTATATCTAGACTTTCTTCCAATCTGTCCCCTTCATAAAAGGACAAGGTGCATGAAGTAATATCTTTCATTGGACCAACTTCTGTTGGTAAGAGAGCAGGCTGGCTCCAGCATTTTTGCCGCCCCAAGCGGGGGGGGGGGGGGCAGGGCAAAGCCACGATTGGCACCACTTCAGTAGCAGCTCTACCGCCGCCACTTCACTCTTCGGCGGCAGGTCCTTCCCTCTAAGAGGGACTGATGGACTCGCCGCCGAATTGCCGCCAGAGCCAGATGTGCCGCCCCTTTCCGTTGGCCGCCCCAAGCACCTGCTTGCTGCATTGGTGCCTGGAGCCGACCCTGTAAGAGAGACAGCTTTCAAGCTTATGCAGAACTCTTATTCAGGTCTGGGAAAGGTACTCCCAGAGTCACAGCTAAATGCAAGGTGGAACAGATGGTTTGGCATAAGTAGTTAGCAAAATAATAAGGTCCATTATTACTTTTCTGCAATTTTCCATGGCTTGTCTGCAACTCAGCCGCAATTTTTTGACAATCATCCTGCAATTCAAGTAGGGCCTCAAAAATATATGAAAAATGCATCACGTGGAGCAAACACCCACCCTCATGTACCAAATGGCACCCTTATTACTCTGCTTTTTTGTCCGAGCCCATCTCCCCACCCTTCATCTGTCTTTCAGACTGCAAATTCTTTGGGGTTGGGACTGCAAAGCCATGATTCATTCAGGTCATTCCAAATGAATGCCAATTAACTTTTATACCTCCAGACACAATCAGGTATGTGGCATATACAGAATACACTATCCCGGTGACCCCAGCAGAACCACAGGAGCATCAAATTGAGGAGTATCAACATCCGCTGCAGCCTACTGTAAGTGCCCTGACTGGGTCATGGGAATGGTGCTACCCTCTGCACTGGCCTCTTCCCAGCAGCAGAACCTGGCTGGTCTGCTCTACTGTGGCCTGTAAACCCTGACATCCATTTTCATCCAAGATTTAGAGTTTGACAAAATACAGATTATCAAGGTTATGCTACATGTGAAGTGCATACACAATCCCTTCCCCCACCCACTTTGCCTTTCTTCACCTGTTGAAATGATATATCTTGATATGAAACTTGTGGTGCAACTGAAAACTGGCTGAGGGAAATATTGTTCATGACAGTCTGTGTGTTCAAATATGTTCTTTAATCTGATGCTCCCTAGGTCCACTGACTCACTCTGCAAGTCTCTCTATTGAGAGCAGTCGATCAGTATACCATAAGCAAAGAGCAGAAAAACCAAATTATGAACGTTACTCTACCATTTTAAGAAGAGCTGGGCAACATATTTTCAGTAAATAGTAAATTCCCCAAAATATGCATTTTTAGGCTACCAAAAGTATTCGTCAATTTGGGTCAAATTCAGTGAATAGTTCTGCCCCCCCCCCCAAAAAGAAACAAAAAAAGGTAATTAAAAAAAAAAAGTCAAAATGGTTCATTTTAACCATTTAGCAACAAAACGTTTAGACTTTTTGTTTTGGCACAGCATTTAATTTCAAAATGTAGCCAATTAAAAACGCCAAACAAATAAAAGGGTGAAAAACCTGAAAACAATTAAATATGTTTACAATATGTTTCATTCAACCCAAAAAAAGTTTGTTTCAGGTTAAACTGAACCTAATTTTTACCCCCCAGATTTTTCAGTTTGGCTCCTGAACCAAATCATCACTTATTCACTCAGCTCTAGGTGTAATGCTATATGACCATTTTAAAGTCCTACTGCTGGTAATTTCTGCATCACTAGCACCACCTGCAAAACTGGCTACCAAAAAAAGCCAAGCCTGTATTTACAGTTGTTTAGTATCAGCAGGAGCTTTTACAAAAAAGTTAAGTAGCTCACTCCCCAGCCCACCATCCACCTGTAGCTTTCATTACAACAGACATCAGAAAGAATTTTTGTGGGACTTCCAACTTCAATAATTAAAAGCCCCAAAAACGCTAACAAAAAAGATACCTTTCTCATCTGTGCCAGCAATCCTTCAAACTCCTTCAGGTTCAGTGTTGCTCCACTGTATGAAGTGCATCTGTTTGCTGCTTTCCCCAGCCAATAAATGGTAATTAGTACCTGCAGAAATCAGTAAACATTAATTGAAAATCTACACAATTACTTTGCTAAATTTACTTTTCCTAAGAACCTCTTCATTTATTTTGAACTCTGAATCACTGGTGGATTTGAGAATTTGTTCTAAATCTGTATTCCCCTCTGGGGAGTGGGAAGGGAGGGTGGTTAAATGGTTAATAACAAATACATGAAGCATCTATTAAAGGTAAAATAATCTTATAGAATTTGCAGCTTATTAAAAAAACATACTGCTGTGTCACGTCTGGCTGAAAAGTAAGCAGCAAAAATAAACCTCAATATTAAAAACTAGGTACAATATTCTAAAGTATTCCCAAAGTGAAGAGAGCTCAAAAGAACTACCTTCCAATAATGAAGGCTTCCAAATCTCATGGTAAAATAAAGTTAAGGGTGGCAGGAAAATATTACTTACTAATAATGGTTTTCCTTAATTAAAATACATAAGGAAATAAACAACAAAATGTTTGTAACAAATATGTCAGGGACTATTTGAAGAAGAGAAAAGGCTAGTTCTACCCACCCCAATATTACTGATAAGGTTCAATGCATTTCACCTCTAGTTTAATGGCTCAAAATATATCCAGACCAATACTAAAAATAAAAGCCTGGACCATCTGGCAGTTTTTCGGCAGTTTAGGCAGAATGAGTTGATGGTTTCACCTAACTTTCAACCTGACATCTACCCCAATGAAAACACCACCATCAGAACTAAGGCCAAGGCCAAGGCCTAAGCTTATAGACCTTTATATACACACTCATCCCTTGAGGAAGTTGCTCCAGGTTAAGAATAAATACAGTGATGGAACCAAGAAGAGAAACTGATTCTGGCACTGGCAGGACTGTATCTGTTCTGGGGATAGAGAACTTCAGTTGCCTAAGTCTATCAAAATCCAATTCCTTTCATGAATGCTAAAATTCTCTTAAATTTTTAGAAAGACAAAAAGTCATTTTCTGGCCCCTTTGTGTCTTATAATTTAAACCTTTAAAGAAAGTGTTTCAGTTTTATTATAACCCCAGATTTGATGGCAATTGAAATTTAACTAAACACAGAATAACAAATTCATGTGAAAACAGTTCACAGCACATGCTCTCAAGTAAAGTAAAAATACTTGCAGACAAGTACTATTCAGAAATAAGAAGCTGTCTAATTCATTTTCCTACCCAATTATGTGATGAGATGAGGATTATGCTAGGTTCAATTATTTTTGCAAGCACTCAATCATTTGATCTCCTCCTCCCCTCCTTATGCAGGGTTGAAAACATTTCCAGACAAATGTCACCTTTGCAAGCAATTCTGACTGGCTGCCAGTCTGGAGTACAGAATAATGCATCTGAAATGTCTACATTACATAGAAAGACACTTTTATGAATCCTTTTTAATGTTAATTTTAAGAACACCACATCCACATGAAACCTTTTAGCCAATTTCAAGAGAGACAGACACCCCAAATGCCACTGAATGAAAACATTCCCATGTATCTTTGTGTGCTGGAAAACAAAGATATTACTCTGCTGATGACAAGAAAGGCAGGATGAAATAATTCTGTCCTTTTTACCTGTAATCTTGATTGCTGGCTTGAAAAATTATAAGGGAAAGGTCTTGGCATTCCCTTACACTGTAGGGGGATGTCAGCCAAATACAAATTGAATTTACAGTAGTTTACAGCTGACAGTAAAGCCAGATTTGCCTGGCCTTTAATAGTGTAACTAACTCTGGGATTAGCCAAATTCAGACATTTTCTTTTTCTTTTCTTTTTTTCCACTTTACCATTACAAAATCATTACTACTGCCACTGGTTGAAATCAACAAAACGTTAAACTTAATAGAATTAAGCCTACTGTGCTTTTGACAACGCATCCTACTTGGAAAACATACACAAAACTACTTGGAAACTCAAAGAGAAAGCTAGCAAGTCAAATGGGAAATTACAATTCAACAGTTTAGATCCACATAATGTGAATGCAGTTTGGATTGTATTATCATCTTCTTGATATGCTTTGCGCAAATGTATAACCAAATTACAATCACTGTATGCCCAGTAAATTCAGAAAGGCCAAAAAAAGTCTAGCTTTTGATGTGTTAAATAGTGTTAATCAAAATTAGACTGGTAATCAAGAAATTAAATTGTTTAGTTCTTTATTTAGTCAGAGACAACAACACTAGCACAGTTCTATTTTGTTTGCAGAGATGGTCTGCCTCTGCAGCAGTATAGTTAGTTTCCAATGAACTATTCATGGTTAATGTACTAAAGAACTTTTCAGATTTGCATCACAGTACTAGCTTTTACAATCTCTAAATTCTAACTCAGTCCAAAGCCAGGATTATCCAGAGAAGAAAGTACTGCAAATTAAATACTTACATTTTTCAGCTTTCTACTGTTGTCAATGTTCCTGGATGCACCCACAAAAAAGAGACAGAAAAGAAAAATCAGAAAGCAGACACTGTTTCCAAGAGCGTATATGCAGGAGGTCACGTGGTTCCCCTAACAAAAGCCTGCAGGATGCTTTTGCTGGTTGGAAACACAAGAAAGCTAGGAAGATGTAGTGCATTCATTCATAATGTGGGAGTATTTTGCAATCATTACTGCAATCATTAAATTACAATGCTTTAACAGCAAAGAGAAAATATGTTGTAGACATCCCATTGCCAAGAATGAAATATAGAGCTGCTGATTTGTACACACAAGGAAGACTAAAGTCCTAAACCCTAAAAGTCTATTGTAGTCCAGTTTTGCTCTGCAATATGTCATGAATACCCAACAGATTTAATAGGAGTTGAACATGCATACACCACGGAAGAATTTAGCCCTAAATGTTTAAATAAACATGGCTTGCCCCACAGCAAGTCTCACAAAGAAAATAAACATCATGCAGAGACCGGAAGGGAGATGAAACAATAATACAGATGATATTGTGAACTACAGTCTCCTCTAGTGCATTCGTAGTAGAAGATTTTTGTTCTGCTTTGTGAATGTATATTTAGCACTCCCATTAAAGACTAACACCCTTTTTGGGCAAAGTCAATCTATTTCTTGGCCAGCATTCCTTCAATATGGCTGGAAGTCATAAGTTAGGAACCTACATGAAGTTTAAGGTTGTGAAAACACAAACAACAGGGAAATTATATGACTGCACTTCAAATTCAACTTATTTTTAGCCAAGAAACTTCTTGGAGAACTGAGGATAAAAGGAATGTGTCTAACACTTCTGGGTATTAGACAAATAAAACAAATGTACTGCAAATGTTTAGTTGAGATTGTCCCCAGAATAAAATTAAAAGCCAGTTCACTTCAAACTACGCAAGTGCACTCTGGTGATAAATTTATCCGACTGCCAGAAACCAGAATGTTTGTTTACATTTATGAAAATACCGAAAGCTTGAAAAATAAAGGAACTTCAAATAATTTGCCACTTTCCCAAAACATTCTTCTTCCAGTACCTGCACCCTAAAAAAATATTGTTCATATTTTCTTTTCCACTGCAATTTTACTATGAAAAAATGTATGTAACCTGATTAAAGTCAGCCTATTTCTTTAAAGCATTAGATCATAACTTTTATAGCTGAATGATCAAAAATACCGTATGTCTAAAGCACATTCCATTTAAAATGCACAAAAAGAAATCACAAAAAGAATAAAAGTTTTTTTTAATCATGTGCAGTAATACCAAAGATTTATTTGATTTTGTAGCACAGAATAAACAGTCTTTGCTACAATAAATAAGCATTCGAAATAGCTGCAGATTGATGAGTAGACTATGGTGTCTATTTAGTAAAAACAGCCATGGAGTTTTTCCACTACAAGACTCAGATTTGGCTTTTGCATGAACTTGGACAGTACAGGAAAAGCATTTCAATTAGATTTCCACAGGTGGGTTTCTCTGAAGAGTCGAGGGGAGAAAAGATTTTCTGACAACGAGTAGCTCCACATCCATCTACCATCACGTTTAATTGAGGGCTAACCCCGTTCTCCAGTTTATTACTAATTTTTAGTTTAACTCATTTGAACACTGCATCAATCCCAAAATTCCACAGACTATTCTAGGCAGCTGTAGGCAGAATCCTACTGGTTTTGGTAAAAAACAGAAACACCAGTGGAAATCAGGCTAAGAAATAGGAAAATCAGGCTCACAAAGTCCCCAGGGGGTGCTACAAGCAACCTACTGCTCACTACCAACTTAACATGGTGTTCTCATTAGGTGTACAGGTCACGCTGTATAAACAACGAAGTGTGGGTGGAATTGTGACACATCATCATGTACATTTGGTTGTCACACCCTTTTACATTTCTGGAGATTCTACGGGATGGTCTATACTAGAAAATTAAGTCATCCCAGGTACACTATTCAGAGGTGTAAAAAATCCACACCCCTGAACAACGTAGACAGCACTAAGTTGACAGAAGAATTCTTCTGTCAATTTAGCTACTGCCTCTCAAGAAGGCGGATTACCTATACCAACAGGAGAACCCCTCCTGTTGGCACATGTAGCGTCTACTGCAGCTTTGCAGCTGGGCTGCTGTAGCATTTTAAGTGTAGACAAGCCCTTAGTCAAATTTATGACAAGATGATTTGCTTTTACACCTCTCATTCCCCTAATTTCTCTTGCTGGGACCATCCTTGAAAGACACAGTGGTCCAGTTGCTAAGGTGCTAACCTGGGAATTGGGAGACCTAGATTCAAGTCATTCTCCCACAGTCTTCCTGTGTGACCTTGGGCAAGTCACTTACTCTCCTGCAGCCTCAGCTCCCCAACCGTGAAATGGGAATAATACGTCCCTGCTTCACAGAGGTGTTGAGGATCATAAAATTAGTGTCTGAGTACCTCACAACTTTAATGGAGGCCATATATATTGATAATATAATCAACAATAATCTATGCACTCTGCCACAGGAAGCTTTTGCATGCAGTAAACTGGGTTTCAGCTGTGATACCTCATCCTCACAGTTTACACAGAAGTTCCAGGTTCAAATGAAATATTTTGCAAGATTGCTCTACAATCCATCGTTAATTTTGAAGAATAAACAGACTGCAGCTTTCTCTACCCTGAAAGGTCTTAGTTTCACAAGAGCCTTCAATTAGTAGATCAAAATTACTGATCGGAGTCCTATAAAGCATCTTGAAAACAGTTTAATCTGCAATAACAAGGCCTGGGATTTTTTAAATTCACATAGTGCTCTAACAAAATAGATACAAGAGAATGTTATCAATCTAGGGTGCTCTTTGAACAATGCTTATATTAGCATTGCCCTGGCATTTGAAAGCTTTTGTGCTTGATATCACTGAAAATAAAAAAAACTAGCTTCTTTCTCCGAGGGGGGAATTTCTGAACAGAACATCTAGTCTAGGCAGCAACGTGGATTCTGAAAGCTTAGCTTGTCTCTCTATTTTACATGAATGTCAGTATCTACAGCCCTTTTTGTTCATCCTTAAACATTTACAATTAAACTACACATATCCACAGTGTTAAGGCCCTAACTATAAACTGGTATTGTACTTACTTGACTGTTATTCTGTTTGATGTGTCCTGAAGGTCACCCGGGTCAAAAAGTTGAGATTCTTTAAGCCCCAGCTCTTTGCAGCCTCTTAAGAATAAGATGGTGTTGTCCTGAAATGAGGCAAACAAAATTTAACTCCTCTTTATTACAGAAGATTATCTCAATGAATCAACCCCTCCTCTTGCTTACCTAAATTACTGGATCATTCAATCACTTAATCCACTAAATCTAGGACTAACATATTGCCAATTATATAATAAAATTTCACTTTGAAGATTCCAGAGAGGAAAAGAGACACATTTTATCTTTGAAATCCATAACTGCACCTCGTTCATTCAGTTCTCCTTGTCAGAAGTCACGTGGCAAGATTTTTTTTAATATATAAAAACAGTTGATATGCCAGCTATCTGCACAACTCTGATCCACTGCAAGTCCTGAGGCCAATGGCCATATTTCAGAACCAGTCAAAAAGCACAGGTATATAATATATTAATTCACCATTCTAAGTGTGCTACAAAGATGTTAGGTTTACATTAACTGGCCAATTACTTCTAACTAGTGTACTTAATTACTCTGCTGTCCTCCCTCCTTAGCCAGCCAAAAGTGGGGGGCAGGGAGGGGAGAAAGACAGTCATTCTCTTCTTTTCCTCAAGCTGGAAATGTGAAACCACATTTTTCAAACAACAGACCTTTTCTACACAAGAAAGATGCACTAATTTAGTTAAATCAGTGTCCACACAGGAATATGCATGCTTAGGCCTGGTCTACATCTAAAACATAACTATCTAGCTACGTTGCTCAGGGATGTGAAAATGTCACATCCCCTCAGGGATCTAGCTAAAACGACCTAAGCCCCAGTGTATCCACTGCTAGAATTCTTCCATCAACCTAGTTATCACCTCAAGGGGGTGGATTTTTCTACAGTGATGGAAAAACCCTTTCTGTCGTCAATCTAAGACAGAGTCGACTGAAGTTAGCAGACATAAATTACATCAGCATAAAGCGGTCACAGTTAGTATATCACTTGTGTAGACTTGGCTCCTAGCATCGGCACTGCGTGTACGCATCAGGAGGGCTTGTATCAATACACAATGTGGTAAAACCATGAGTATGTATCCCAGTGTGCAACTTGCCGTCATCTGGCACATTGTCTTTTGGAAAATTTTGGCAATCCATGGTGGGGCAGAAACAAGTCACACAGGGTGACTGGGAGCAAGGGGTCAAGTTCCTATCATGCAACTTTTGCAATTCCATAATACCATCCATATCCATATCTATTTTCATGCCTTATCTTAAAAAGCCCACAAACCCATGTAGCACTTCACACTGTCAGCCATCTCTGACAGAAGTGTGGAGCCTGCACAGCTCTGCACTATTGTCATGAGTGTGGCAAGCACAGGATGAACGATCCTCTGGTATTTGCAGAGTCGCAGGACAAAACCGTAGCAATGAGCACCGGAAGCGCCCTAAAAGTGGGAGGGGCCACCGGCCCCTGGACCGGGCCCCCGCCCCCACTCGGTTACCTCTGCCTGAGGCTCTGTCCGCAGTCCATCCACGCTCCACCCCGACACCCTACTTCCGTTCAGCCTCTTCCCCCGAGGCCTGACCCCTACTCTGCCTCTTCCAGCCCCAGGCCTCCCCCGCAAGGCCACCCCCGCCCACCACTCGCCCCCACTCCTTCCCCTCTCCCAAGGACCCTCCACCCACTGTTCACTTCTCTCTGCCCCCTCCCCCAAGCCCTCCTGGCGCTCACTCCTTTCTGTCCCCTCCTGCCTTCAGCGTGAGCGACAGGGGGAAGAGGAGCGAGCGGCAGGTGAGAAGAGGTGGAGCGGGGGCAGGAAGGGAGGCACGCCACATCCAGCATCTTTCCCCATTTGTGGAGGCTTAACCTCCCCAAGCCACTTATATCTTCTAGCCCTGGCTCCAACGCAGGGACACCAGAACGAGAGCTGCACTGACAGTGGCGAAATGCGTGGCGATCACTCTAGGGAAGGTTGCAACGCTGGATTGCTATTGGTCAGTGGGAAGTCATTTGGAGTTAGAAAATCCATAGCGAGGGCCACTGTCATGCAAATACGAAGGGCCATTAATAGTCTTCTGCTACACAGGACTGTCACTCTCAATAACATGAAAGACATAGCAGATGGATTTGCAGCAACAGGATTCCTGGACTGCAATGGGGCGATAAATGGCACTCATATCCTGATTTTGGCACCTGGCCATAGAGTACATCAACAGAAAGGGCTACTTTTCTGTAGTTATGCAAGCATTGATGAATCACCGGGGACACTTCACCAACATATGGTTTGCACCAATTTAACTATATTAAGAACGGATACCTTTTGTAGACCCAGTATAACTTTCTCCTGTAGACCAGTCTTGAGGTCACAGGGAACAAGTGACAATCAGGGTCTATGAGCTTCCGAGGAACTGCCAGAGCATTAGGAATAGTCAGTTAAGTTTGGGCAGGAGGTAGAGGACTGCACAAATTTCTTCACCCATGCTCCCTCCTACCCCTCCTCTCTTCTTCCCTCTGAAGATGACCTGCCTCCAGTTGGTGGGGGAATAGTAGTGCCATAAAGTGTGCTGGAGCAGTTTTGGGTTCTTTTCTTTTGAACTTCAAAAATAATTTCAGTAGGAGGCTAAGCAAACATTTGAAGCTTTTCACCCCTCCCTGAACCCCTTCTCATCTATCCCTATTTGAAGGGAAACAGTTACAGAACAGAACTCTCACCATCACTACATTTGTTCCCATGTCTTTGTTTATGTTGCACTTGCACAGATCTGCAAGAACGTCACTGTTTATTTTTTCGGTGTGCAGTGATCAGCACACTAATCGCTCTGGCATTCAGCATACCAACATCAGTGCAAAAGAAGCTTGCCGTCAGCAGCCACATTGCAAAATCTGGGCTCAAAGAATTTAGAGTGCTACAAATCTTCCTCCGACCCCTGGATAAAATTTAATAGCTATGGAGAGAAGCCAGAGAAGAAGCAGCATCAGTTAGGAGAACAGAGAGCCTGCAACCATGAGAGGAAGTCTCATTCGTGACATGAAAAGACTCTTGTAAAATTCCCATCTGTTTTGCTATTTGCATTATAATTTTTCCACACTAATTCCAACTGAAACATGAACAATGCTGTGTTTTGCCTTTGAAGGAGCACAATATGGTTTGTTTCCAAATGGTGGGTGGAGCAGGGTTCAACTCTAATAAAAGTTTGGTTACCTAAGTGTGAAGCGTTTTTAAAAAGTATTTTTTGTTACAAAATATCCAAGACAAACAGACCTAATAGACTTGGGAAACGTTCAAAGGATAGGATGGCTCAAGGGATTTTTAACAGTGCCTCTTCCCTTTAGATCCAAAATTCCAATCCAACCTATGTCAAGAGTGATCAAAATTGGTAACCGCACAATGGCTGTTTGGTGGCCTACGTGAAGTGGGGTCCCAGTTCACTTAACAGCCAAGTGTTCATATAAAAAAAAAATCCACTCTCACAATGCTAAAGCAGTTTTTGCATATGCTGTTGTAGTGATTGTGACAATGAAGTCAACATTTGAAAACAGTCACAACAACACAGTATCATGAGTTATTTCCTGCTTTATAGTTATTTCCTATTTTAAGTATAGATAAGCGTGATAAAGAGGGGATAACAGTGGATTTTAAAAAAATGGTGACCACTATAAGGTATGTTTTTTCATCACTGAGCTTGGAGTTTTTTTTTTTTTTTTAATATTGACAATTTTATAGTTTTCAGTTCCTGGAAGCCCTAGAAGCATGGCAACATTTATTTAAGGAAGATAAATTGATGTTTGAAAGTGACAGATGAACAGGGTAAACCTCCAAAATGCTTCACATTCCTAGAGGCTGCCAATCCAAAACCAGAATGCTTCCAACAGTACTACTGAACTGAAGCTTTTCTGGTTTGGCTCAGTACTACTTAAAATTGTGTTTATTGTTTTTTTAACATACTAGTAAACTATCCTGCTAAACCACAAGGGGGGGGGGGGGAGATTTGTTATCAAAGCACAGGATTGGGAATCAAGTGACCAAGATTCTCTCTCTGGATTGTCACAACTTTCATTGGCAAAGTCACTTTCTGGGCTCCATTTTCTTCAGCTATTAAAATAAAGGGAGACCTTGCTTCCCACATCTCACCAGGAGTGCTATGAAGCTCAGTTCAATATCTTCACTGCTTTGAAATCAGCTGATGGAAGGTGATCCAATTTTTTTTTAGTCGCATAACTATATGAAAGATTTCATGTAGTATCTGAATACTAAGTGGAAAGACGACGCATTTTCTTTTTTTCAAGCTCACCCAAGTATCTTAAGATTTAGAAACGCTCAGCAAAAAGTTGCAAACTTTATATATATTTGAGGTTCAGAAAATAATTCCTTTCAGATCCTGCATATGCAGCAATGCAGAATTAGTGTGGTGCATTAAGTGGGCAGGAGGTTGCCTTCCTATGAATGATCTTGCTCATGGAGGCAAGCACGATATTGCATTGCATGGAGAAACTGTCATCTGATAAGATACATCACTTCCTGTGCTCCTTTAAGAAAAACAATGGTGTCTAAAGATTGCTATAAACAAAACAAACACACACAGAGAATTATTTCATTCAATAAGACATCTTCCTCTGTACTTGTAACATGTAATGTAGAGGAAAAAATGACTTTGGGGTTAAGCTCTTCATTTTCTTTTACTAACATGCTGGATGTTAAACTTGGAAGAGGTCTAATATTGGTAAAACTTTACAAGTTATAACTGGCCACTCACCAAAGAAATATGTCAACACCATGACAAATACAGGATAGAAACATACGATGATTTTAAGCATTAAACAGTCTGACACTGGTCTGAGAGAACTCATTAGGCTTGCTATTAGCATTCACATACAAGCAAACCTATCTTGCTTACAAAGATTACAAATTCAAAAGTTACTGGTGTAAATCCTGTGCTAAAACTGACAACTTCAGGCTGGAAAGGTTATAGTGTATATGAAACACTACAGGCTTTCACAGCTGAAATTCAATATAGGCAACTTTTCAAATTTAAGGAACAAGACAAAATCTTAGTTACTTGTGTAGTATTATGATAACATTTTCCACAC